TGGCTACTAGGCAGACATCGGCTAACGAGATGTCGTTTGTCAGCCAAGAAACCGTGGCATTTCCAACCCATTGGCGCTAACTTGAAGTTGAAAAAACGTTGAAATGGCGTTGGAAATCACTTGAACACTGAGATGGGTGCTGGATTCGCGTCTACTGTTGGTGGCGTCGGGAAACAGCTGGGAGACATGTGGGAGATTCTAGTTACCCTCTATTTTAGCACACAGGATAGCAGCACAGCATGTGCAAATTTTAATCCTTGCACTAATAAACCCCAAGTCACATAGCCTCGCATTGTACCAACGGCGAACAGCGCTAAAGTGTTTGTGAAATGAGAGTGAACAAGCTTGCCAATTCCATTTGATGCTGTGTCTGATGCCTATCTTGTTACAATGCAGGGCTTAAACACCACCACCAACAAAAACAATTAGGGGCATTTCAGATGCCTGGTGTGTCCACATTTGGGCTGAAACAGCGAGACAAAACGACGCACCAGATTGCACGGGTGCACAGGAAATCGTGTGTGATGTCGCCCCACGTCCATCAACCGTGTTCTCGCAAATTGCCGCCAGTAGTATGTGCCTCTGTTTCCTACCCCCCATCGCTGACAGGTCTGAGGTGGCAACAGTCTTTGTAATTCCCCCGGTGTACGCGTCTGTGAGTTGTAGACCCACACGACCTTGCCTGCCTGGAGCTTCCGCACGTGCTATTGGTTGGCCGGATCGACGAGTTTTGCCCACCCAAAATGACCTTCTAGGAGTTCAACACGATTCGTCCCATCGTAGCATCGCGTGTAATCTTACCAATCGCCGTCTTCACCCTACCCAACTTGCTGAAACACACCGGGACTGTCTTTGGTAGTTGTGTTAGTGGTTTCTGAGTGATTTGAAGATCTGACGACAAAAGCAAAGACCACACCAAATGCCGAAATCGGTATATCGCATTGTGAACCTTTTATACATGTGACGATGCTGACGTGGTCATTCAACTCAACCCCCTGTGACTCAACAGGCCCACCTTGTGCTTCGGATCTCGATCGAAGCATTCTGCGCCGATGCCAGGATTCTTAGATTGTGAGCTTCGAGTTGTCGTCATGTTGGAGTTGATCTGAGCTCTGTCACAATTCGCGTGTTTGCATGATGGATTTGAAACTGGTAAATGGTGTAGGTGCATTCGTGTCCACACTCAGCTCATGACTTCCCCTCGATGTGTCTTTTCCATCTACGGAAATTCGGCAGATTCGGATGAACGAAAGTCAACCAATGACATCACTTGGAATCAGTTAGTGTACCTCCCTGAAAGCGGGTTAGCATAATGCACCGGAGGGAAATTTTAAAAGCTAGAGGTATTATGACGTCTCTCACCCACCCTTGAGGTCCCACCGAATGAAAACTGCGCAGCTGATAAGCGATTAAATCATTTTACTTCGCCACAACCACCAAGTGCCAGTTCGGCATCACGTACACAAAATTTGAACCACTCGGCGTGCGAGAACGACAAAATCCAAGCGATAAAGCAATTTGCAAGGTCAGTGCCACAAGATGTGAAAATGATGAAGATTGTGTATTTGTCATTAGTCGCAGTTAACAAAGACGCGTTCGCGCGTTTTATCGATCGGTTGCCACACCGGAAATCACGCACTAAGTGGTCGTTTTGGCGATCGATAACGGAACGTCTCACAAACACTTTTCATTGGTCATGAGGTAACTTTCCTTATAAGTGAGTAATTCACATTTTCAACACGTTTCTCTTGTCTGTGCGGATGGTAAATTTCTTGAATTGTAAGATAAAACAACAAGTGGGAAAAGTGGGTGATGCAGTAAAACAAAAATCGATGAAAACCCATTTATCATCGAAGTCGCTTTTTTTCGCCTGGAGCAGGAGGGAGGGTTAAATTTGGCGCTGCACCACTGGGAAACTCATTTAAACAACATGGTGTACCTACGCAAATCACCACTAACGTCACACCTGTTTCCAGTATCCATGGGCAACTAATTTGACATTGGCTTTACAGAATGTCAAGTGCACCTCGGTTCATTTTCAAGCAATGTGATGTGTCCACACACAAATATTATGTTGAGAAAATTAAATCATAACTTAAAAGCGTATAAATTAGTCTGTTGTTTCATCACAAAACGCAAGATATTAAATGATGCCATTTTAAGCAAGTTAATAATTCAGAAGTGAGAAGATGGATGCTAATTAAAAGCATGACTGCACACCTTCCTGAACTCAGCATTTAGCTAACCTTCCTCATAAAATTGTTTAAATTACGACTGCCTAACCTCAGGTAGTTGGGTAAATTTACTTCTCTACCTGTATGACAAGGAAGGACCGACAAGATTGGTCTCTTCCTTGGGCTCACCTTACTTTTTTTTTTGTGCCCAGCCGTAGCCCACAATGGCCCCGCGTGGAACGTCGAGCACACCCCCGACGGACTGCACCTCCTTTCGTGGGGCGGCACTGGTCTCCAGAGTGCCGCAACCCTCCGCATGTGGGCGCTGGATGCGTCTGGAGGGAAGCCGTGCGCTAGCAGCGCCGCCCAGCCTCGACCAATCAACTTCGGCTCGCAGCCCAGCGCGCGCGGGAGGCCCTCGTCCGACGGCCCACCTCCTCTGGCAGTCCGAATGGCAGTCGGACGCGGCGCCATGCGCCTCCACGCCTGGGGCGCCGAAGGAGCTCTTGTCTTCGTCCCGGTCGGTGAGAGCCTCATGGTGGCGGTGGCGGACAGCGTCAAGGCCTGTGGCGACAGCCGGCATCTGCAAAGGCTCCTGAAACGCCATTTCTCGAAGGTACACTTGTGGACGTCGCTGATTCACGCTTTTGTCTCTGGCTAACTCGGATCGCTTATGCATGCATTGTTGTGGTAATTGTGTGGTTAGTGTGGATTTTGTCCGGTTGCAGATACGCGCCTGCGCCTGGAATCCGATCCGACAGGAACTCTACACGGCTGGAATGGACAGCAATCTCAACACCTGGCCCCTCTTCCCAAACCAGGCTGCTGATAATATTTCTGTAGAAATATAATTCAGTGACAGAGCTGAGAGCTTCTTTCGCTGATTCACTGGAATGGGTTGTCAGCGTGGTGTCGATGTGTGCAAGCGGACATCCTGGGAGAACCAAGTGCTAAGTGTTCGAAATCGGTTAAAACGTTTTGACCAAAAATCACTTTTGCGCGCATTTAAAACGGTTCTCTTCTGGCCTAATGACAGCGAAGTCGCTCCCAGACTCACTGTGGCGTTTGCACATTTCTGCGTCGTGTGAAAGTACGGCCAAATGCTCGTCTCCTTTAAGACTCTGCACTGTGGAGCACCAATCATCGTCTCCATCAACTACACCTAAGCAGCGTCGTCGCCTCGTGACAGCTGATAGCGGCACAAATCACACAGGGAAGGACTTCCGTTTGAGTGGTGGCAGTCGAGAAGAGTAATCGATCAAGACTAGCTGCTGAGCCCTCTGGTTTGTTGTAGACCACACCACCAAAAGTGGCCATTTGGGCTCACGTGTTTTCGTACGTTATTAGCACGTCAGTATCCATCAGTGGTCTCATCAAAGGTCACGTTTTAGCAGGCAAGTACCACGAAAGAGCTCGGCGTTGGCTGGGCTTAATTAGATAACGTAAATCTGTTTTGCATGTCCTCAAAATTTCACTATTATTGTGTACTTCTAGCGTTTTTTTCCACAAATCGCAATTCGTTGGCTTTAAATTGATCTTGAATAACGAGGAAAGCGGCTGTTTCAGGCTAGACCCTTAGACCCGGTTAATGAAGAACTAAAAAACGATTAAGGTTGGTAATCACTGCGACGTTTGCGCATCCCCGAGATCAGTTCAAACGGCCATGGTCACAGTATGCATACTTGGTACTAAACTAGTTACTTCGTTTGGATGGCCAGCAATGTTTTGTGTTGCATTTTCCGATATTGCACAACCGATTTGGCAAAATGGCATTAAACAAAGTTCGTATGTGGAGTATGACAATTCACTGTGTATTAAGCAATTTCGACACTGCCAAATCATTCACGAACTTCGTTCTAAGAGGACCACTGAAGGTGACAAACATGATCGGAGACATTTCTGATAATTAAATATCAATTATTAGGAATTAAACTAGCAAATTACCATGGAAACCAATGTAAACAAAGCCGGATGACTTAATTTTTTTATGTGTCTAGTGGTATTCGACCACTTCAGTAGTCGAAGCTGTCTTGGTGCAACCACACAAACTACGAACACTGCTTAAAAATCACTGTGTACTCGTCAAATTCCGCAATTTTTGTTTTACTGAGCTCACCGTTACGCGCCAAAACATTACTTCATTTTCGACAACTGATAAATTAACGTGCTTTTGTTAAGACCCCGGTGAAATATCGGAAGTCTTTTCACTGAACTGATGGTCCTTGCAGTAGCTGTTACTGTCCGCAACTTCAATTAATCGTGACCGTGTTCAGTGCATTCGACAACTGAATTCTCGCCACGTTCATATTCAATACTTGACACCACACAGCACCCTGAATGACCTCGCGCGTTTTCTCCCGTGGCAGTTCACGTGACCCCGGCTGACTCATCATTATGCGCCAGGAGGTGGCGTCATGCTGTGGGCAGACGGACTGCCAAAGACTCAGGTGAAATCACCCGACAACCAAAAGGGGTGTCTCGGACTGATGCAGCTTTGTTTTACTGCATTCTTTTTTATCCCCACGGTAACTGGGCGGCGCTTTTTTAAACTACGCGATACAGCCAATCAGGTGTGGGCAGACTGTACAAGTAAACTGTCTGTGTGAGTGCGTGGGTGTCAGAGCAGTTGTGTGGAGGAGGTGTCGAATGTCGTGGAGTGCAAAGCGAGGCGACTGTACAAATGACGCTGGGCGCGGTGAGTCACAATGACGGGCGTTTCATTGGCTAGAGGGTTGTGAGTAGGAGGTCGCTGCGATCGTTGGAGGCAGGGTTGTTCTCCTGGTCGAAAAACCGCTTGAACGTGAAGTCGGGGAAGGCGTGGGGAGCACTTGTCAGACCGAAGGTTCCACCTCCGCTGATCTGCGAGCTGGTCTGGTCGTCACCGCTAACCTCCTCCTCCACTGCATCGAAGTTGGACGTGTCTAGTTCGTTCAAAATCTAGAGAATATATTTAGATCAATTGAAACACTATCCACGCATTTGAAGGGGGTACTCTGTGATTGGTTGAGACGGCAAAAGCTCTTCGCACGGGGTCTTGCCTGTTTCCTGGCATCGTAAAGGTGACGCAAGTAACCTACTCTGTCCAATCAAACAGTCATTTTAGATGGGCCTTTTGAAACTGAAGCCCCCTCACCTACTCCTTTTTTATGGTAGTCATAGAAGGAGATACATATATATATACACACACACTTACTGTCGGCACGTACGGAGGCGTCTGACTGGGCAGCTTGTCCCAGTCCACGGCGGCGAAGAAGGCGTGCTTCTTCATCAACCAGGGATCCGCCAGACGATCCTCCGGGTCGCAGAGAAGGCGTCGAATGAGGTCTGCAGCGTCCGCTGCCAGTCGCGGCTCCCCGGGAATGCGCAGGTGTCGTTGCCACTGGATCACGCGTAGCTGCGTGTCCAACGCGGTCTGAGCAACGAAGGGTGGCCGACCAACGAGCATCTCGTAGAGAATGACCCCCACTGACCACCAATCACACGCTCGGTTGTATTCTGTTGGCAAAACAACACATCACAAACTCGCCATGGCTGGGAAATTGCGTCGAATTCAACAGGCGCTATGTGATATGGCTTCTTGGGCTGGCAACTGGCTATCCAATCAAAACTGGGCCGAATTCGATTGGTTAAATGAGCATCATGAGAGGAACCAAAAATTAACTAGATTTCAGGTAATGGAATTCCCTCAAGATACTGCAAATCGAATTTACGTATAAGTAAACTGGCTGCTGCCTTGTACGTCGAATTTCGTGTGAGAAAGTCAACAAAAAATACACCTTTTTCGTCATTTATTGTGAACTTTTTTTATCCAATAAGAAAGTGACATTCTGGACTAAATGTCAACTGTCAAGTAACTATTGCGAGGAATCCCAAGGGTTCATACATAAATATAATCGGTTTTACTAAAACCCCTGCAGTCCAGTTCGACATTTACGCGGGGATATTTTGCTCCGAGTTCGGACCACCATAGTTTTGATGAACTGCGATGAAAATATCGTTTTTTGTCGATATTTCCGCCAATAACACTGCCCGCTTTAATTTCAAGGCAATCAGAACTAGTTAGAAACGGCGCATTTGTGTGTGAGGCTGGGGACTATTCAAGGGTGATAAGTGCGACACAGGTTGTAAAACTAAGACTGCGGTGTAAAAATTACTACACTTTTATGCAAATAATGGATTTCAATCAATCATATAGTCTTTTGCATTGTTTTTATCAGCGAAAAAATTAAACAAATTGAGAACTCTGATCACCGTCATTTGTGATGATTTCGAAGACTTGTAAACGTGGAAGAAATTCGGCGGTCTAATGGCAAATAATCACTGGTTACGCTCGACGCCTCTTAAAACCCAAGCACCAATTACTTTTGACGACGTATAGAACCTGTGAGAGTTCATGAATTGTCTTCGGAAAATGGATTTTTTTCGCGGTGTTTCTATTCTTATCTTGTTCCATTAATTTGTTCCAAAACACTCCTAAATTTATCGTTTGGTTAAATGAAAGAACACAATTAAATTGACCAAAATTTTGGAACCATAATAGTTTTCTGTTAATGCCTTTACTTGCTATCGATTTTTCATCTTCAGTGATGATTCGTTAAAAAAAGGGACGATTTGATTGGAATTGAAATGCAAGTCGCTAATTTCGATTGGTTGTGTTAAATTGGATGTCTAAATCTATTTGCAACTTAAATATATCGAGTTTCAAAAGGAGTGGAAGAAGTCAGAAAAAATTGATTTGTAAAATACTTAATCCCCTCAAAAATTCACACAGTCGCTTGACGATCCAGTTAAACGAAAAATTGAGTGTGCCAACAAGAAAGTTGGTCGTTTTGCTAACTCTAATCAGCTGAAAATGTTCGTTTTACACTGTAGTGTTGTTGTTCTTTAACTTAATCATATGAAAATGAAATCGTTATCAAAAGTGAAAATGCCTACTTGCCATTAGTAAGTTTTGTGAAAAATGATGTGCAATTCACATAACAAATTGTCAACGTCTTCAATCGGTTTATGAGAAGTATTGTTGCGGAAACAGGAAAATTTGTGAATATAATTTTAAAAAAGCAAACAATTCCAAACAATATTTGCCTAAATCTACTAGGACTGACCTGAAAATTCCCACCGTTCCTGGCCGTCCAATAAATTTTGCCACGGAAATGCGTAATGAATGTGTGCGTCTGTACTTTAAAATACCTGGAAAGCGTGATGACGCGATCCGAGCAGAACGAAAGGGAAATTGAAATTGACAGTGACTTAAATCAAATCAAGGTTGCCATAGCAACCGACATTAGAAAGTTTAAAGTAGGTGTGTTCACGACTTCATGTAGCACACTCACGAATCAGTCGTAGTGAGCTAACATTTGCATCTCCTCACAAGTCAGGTATAAACGATTTCACCACAGGTCAGCTCATCTGAGGACTGGTACGATGTCCAATAAAAAAGCTGCAATTAGCTGTTTAGAGGTTGGTTATCAAGGGGCCATCGAAGTAGTAGTGGGAAGGTCAACATAAATTCGAGTGCTGGTCGACTGTCGAATTTGAAGTAAGTAGAGGTCAAGGAGGAGGGGTACCATGACAGCCATGGACTCTTTCCAAACCGACAGAGCTGGAGCTTGGTATTTTGAAGGGAAATTTCGTCATACAGGTGACTGAGCTTCACTTGGGATGTTAAAATGCCACGACAATCATGCGGTAATCCATCAACGCAGCTGGCAGTTTGTCCAATCACGTGCGAGGCTGTTTAGCATTCCTACATCCGCCATGACCCACGATATCGTCTCCACACAAGACAACACGGCGAGAGAAGTGAAATTTTTAGGAAACAGCCATGCTTCGATTGTCCATGGTTATTTTACTCTTTTTTTTTAGAAAAATTGATTGGGGCTTCGCCGTAGTTGCAACCCACCTACTGGCAAACGATATTCATACGTCCAACATCCACACATAATCGAAGTAACTTATCGCATGTCAAAAATGCTTTTTTTCTAAATTTCCACTGGCAGGATATTTTGCAAATTTGTGCAGTAATTAATGTGTTTTCGGGGAAGCAGAGCATTAACACACATTGATAACATTACGACCTAACGTTGCAGCAAAATTTGCAATTCAGCAGACTCGTTGGCGGAAAAAAACATTTTTCTCGCAGGCAAAAGGCATCCAGCTTGACATTTTTGAACAAGCCGAGGGCAAATATGTGAGGAATCCTTTTTTCCCTTATCCAAAGAACACAAATCAACGTGTATGCGTGCGTTTGACCTTCAAATGACCTTCAGTGACTTCCAATCAGAATCTGACTTGACAAGGCACCTAGAACAAAACTAGCCACGGTCTGTCGAATTATAGTCAGTCAAATTAAATGCGAAAAAAGTAAACTTTGACTGCATAAATCGATAAAACGAGTGACAAGATGTACCCTGTCGACGAAGTATTTCCGGAGCGATGTAGTTGGGTGTTCCGACGAGGGACTTGGCGCAGCGTCGATTGGAGGAGCTGCGAATGCGTCTCTCCAGGGTCTGGTCGTGCATGGGCCACGCCTGGTCGCCAAGTTCAGCCCGCTCCGGGTCGTCTGTCGGTTTAGTTAGTGCCTCCTCACCCTCAGGCGTGGTTTTCTCCTGGCCAGGCTGGGGAATCGCGAACACCGGGTCCCAGTACTTGCTGCTGTGCGTCCAACGGAAGCTCGTGCAAAGGCCGAAATCTGTCAGCTTGATGTGGCCGTCACGATTGATAAGAATATTGTCCGGTTTGATGTCCCTAAGCGGTGTTGAAACACACGAACACAGTAAAAGGTGTGTGTGTGTGTGTGTGTGCGTACGTGTGGGGCATCATCATCATTCCATCATCGTATGCTCGTGTTAGCGATCGATGCTCACAAGTCTCTCGAACTCGTTTTTCATTGGCTACGAGTTAACTGCCCTCATTGATTCGATTATTGATTTTTGCACTGCGACTGCAGTTTAATTAAACGTTACATGTCTGAAAGTACGGTTGTGTCTTTTTCAGCGTGCTTTTCTTATCGATTTCATTTGGCTAGGATAAGTCGTTTAAGTTTCGAATAAAACCTAGTCCTAATCGATAATCGATTATTCAAACACGGAGTTCTGTTTCGTTATTCGCGAGAGGGTTGCAAGGAATGATGCCGCCACAATTCCACCAATTACGATCCGCAATGACATGGAAACTGGCGGGAGCTTTCGACGGCACGGATTTTAAATAGGTTGAAATTAAATGCCAAATTTGAGGTGACCTTGTCATTTCGATGGAATATAAATATTTACCGATGGATAAAGCCCAGTGCGTGAACACTCTCCAGAGCCAACGTCAGTTCCGCGATGTAGAACCTCGCCAATGGCTCCTCGAAGACTTCCTTTTTAATTAACAGAGACATCATGTCGCCGCCTGAAGGGGAAGACGCACAGTTAGTACGCTGCAGTAAAAAAGACACGCGTGAAGACCCCAATTTAGTGATTTAATTTTACAATTACCGCGGATAAATTCAAATACGGCGCGCAACTCGGTTGTTTAAATTGTCAAAGCTTTCTCGAGGTTAATTTGACCAATTGGAAGATGTGGCACAATCCCGCCACGCTGCATCATTACGATTGGCAAATCTGATTAAATAAGGCGCCAAAAAATAGTTGAGCCTTTGATCGTGCATTTTTTAAACAAATTTGGGGTTTCAAAACTGAGAGCCATAAAATTAAGTCTCTGACATTTGCTGTTGAGGTGATAGTGGTACTTTTATTGCTACACGAAACTGCGCCATTTCAGGGTTTAATTTCCACGTCTGAATGTACATGGTGTGTTGTTGCTAAGACGACTAAAGTACTTATTTGGGAATTGGATCAGAAGGGAAACCTGTCCCCAGCGAAAATGCAAGATACGATTTGCACCTATAGCGAAATCATCGAAGTGAATCACGGTGTGGCACTTTGATCTCAAATCTAAAAAAATTACGGAAGTTTTACGCGGACGATTAAACCAAGAGGCATGCAAGACAGCTTGAGTGTGTAGACAGGCGGTGTCTTCAGTCTGGGTCAGGTAGGGCCTGTCTCAAGACAAAGCACCAACCCCTGTGACAGCACCCCGCACCGATCGATACAAATCACGTTATGTGCAGCGTGCGCCTGTGCACAGAAGCCCAGAAACCGGAGAGAGGAATGCAAGCCCCTGGTGTGGGAGACGCGTGGCACGGACAGGCGCATATTGGCGCACGTCCACGCGCGACTGACCAATCAGCGGAGTGAGCGGAATTCAAACCTGGCGCACCATCATCATCAACGCAGCAGCACAGCAACTGCGAACACACACGCACCCCCTGGACGAAGGACGAAGAGTGAGGTAGAGGTGGAAGGAAGGAAGGAGGTAGGAATGCGTGGTGGTATGAGGAAGGCACACACACGCGCACACACACACATACACACAAGAGGGTCCGTGCACGCAAGGAAGGTATTTTCGGCCAATGCCAAGTTGTGGGACGGTCGTGCCTAGGGTGTGCTTGCTACGGAATTCGCGAGAATATTTTTTTTCAAAAAATTGCAAGGTCTTAACTGGCTGCAGGATGTGCCCGATTTTGTCAATACGCTCCGACGACAAATTAGCAAATGAAATACATGGTATTTGCCTAACACAGCACCACAGATCGGCAAACGATGCCACGAAAGGGGCTTAGAGTAAAAGAAATTCAGAATCTTCGGAGGGTGTTACCGCTCGTGACATAATCGGGGCCGAATTTTTTAAATGAAAAGAACTCCGATTGCGATTTCAATCCAGCACTGATTATAAAGGGTGAATTGGTTTTAGTTTAAATTAGTTCACATTTTTACATTGTGTCTACAGTTTGGTATTTTTTTACAAACCAAGTCTTTTGTGTGCTGTCTGTGTCTTGAGGCAACCGTCAAATGAGAATGCTGAACTGTAGCGAAGTTACAAAATGGACACCTTTTTAGCTAGTTGAACTCAGCTCGTGATTGGCTATTCCAAAATACCGTGTGACCTTGCATACTTTGGCCGTTACGTCATTCAGCAGAGGAGGCAGAATAAATACATAGACTTTGACTTACCAGGAATATACTCCATCACCAAGTAGAGTGCGTGCGTGTCTTGGAAGGAGAAGAAGAGTTTGACCACCCAGTGGCTGTCTGCCTCGGCGAGAATGTCGCGTTCTGCCTGGACGTGGGCGAGCTGCCTTCGACGCACAACGTCCCGCTTCTTGAGGATCTTCATCGCGTACAGCTGACGATTCTCCTTCTTTCGAACCAGCCACACCCACCCGAACGCGCCTACGCCTAAAACGTCCACAGACAGAAACAGTTTAAGGGGTTATCGTGGCACGTCCTTGTCCAAACCACCTTCATTCTCTCACCTCACCCTTCGCTCCCATCGTAACCTGGACTGATGCTTGTTCGAACTACGCGTAGGAGCCGTCTACCGAATTTACCAGCCCTATTTTGGTTAATTAGTACGTAGAAACAAGTAGTTGTATATGTCCTTTTATGACCTTTCATTCCAGTTTCGATAGTAATTATCAAACAAGGCGAGCGAAATAATACCTAGGCGCTTAATTCGAAGGAACATGCTCTCATCCATTCGAGCGCGCTGCATTCGCATGTAGTTCGATTCCTTCGCTTGGAGCATTTTCCGCATGTGGGCACGGGAGGCCTCGCTCAAACCCATCAAGGCCATCTCTGCCTCCAAGCGTGCCTGCCTCTCCTCCCGCTCCTTGTGAACTCGACCCACATTGGAGAAGTACTTCTGCTCAATGAAGCGTCGATACACAGCCGGATTGACGGCCTTCACGAAGGGAACGTAGTCAGCGGGTTTGGCCTCGTCTTTTTCGTTGTTCGCGCAGTCGGAGCAGAAGCTGGACGACCGCGACGATGCGGATCGACGCGAACTCGTCGACTCGGTGTCCGAGTTGTCGTCGCTTTCGTGGTGGCTTGCTGAGGACGAAGACGAGCTGTCGACTGTGGCGCTCTCGTGGTTGCTCGGGGTTACGTGTTGGTGCGAGGGCCTCGGCTCAACTGGCGTTGACGTCGTCGAAGCCGTCACCGCTGTGCTCAGCTAATGGACATTCAGAAACAACGAATCAGCTGTTGCTAGCCGTTAAATATTAAAATACATCTAAAACAACGGGAGTGATTGCGGGGGTCAGTTTTCGCTCAAGCGAACGACCGCATTTGGACGATAGTGCAGTAGTAGCTTTAAATACTCCAAATACAGCCACATTCAGAACAAGGAAGATTAACAAAGTTAATGAAAGGTAACTGGTAGCTACGTAGCTTGCAAAATTAAAAAACAGAGGAATGAAATGAGTGGAATACAAACTTAAAAGAGGTAAGGGGGAGAAAAGGTGGTTTAAAAAAGAAGACTTCAAGCATTCTCTTGTCATTTGAGGCCAGAAAGCAGGTAAGTAAATATGGAGTAGATCTTGAAGTTCCCACATTTGTCACTTCGAGCCTAAATCTACGAATTTGCTGCGCCAAACTTTTAAGGTAGATTTTGTGGCAAGACCTGGATCTCATATCGTGATCAGGGGTTCTAAAATTGAGCAGTAGATCTGTGGTGTGGAATCCATCTAAGTGTCAGTGATGGCTGCGGCTCAAGGATCACGTATGACTTGGCAATATGAAGGATTTTGTGAGTACATTTTAACAAATTTTCCAACACGACCACCTCTAACCCAATCCAGCGCGTAAAACAACGGAGCGCCAATTTAAATTTTTGGCGCGTGGATGAAAACTGTAAGCTTTTGTGTTGTAATACAGAGAGCATTTCGACCTACGCTGCACTGGAGACCTTGGTGTTTGTATCTGTTGTTTAAACTCGATTTCACCGCCAAACGACGATTCCAGCCACAAACCTTGTTGTTTGTTCTAACGAACTGGGTGTGCGTGGCGCGAATTTAACAAATTCTGTAAAACCTCCTACTGCAGCCCGATTTTGTTGAAAGAGACGATAAAGCGGTAAAAAGACGCGTGAGGGCTGTTTCCGTACTGACATAGCAGGAACATGCTCTTCCTTGTTGCATCTTTTTTCTGCGGAATTTGCTTAAACACGGGATACATTGTTGCTTCGTGAAATTGGAGAAATAGGCATTCTTGGCAACTTAAAAAATCCTCACCGCGGGCATTCAGGCCCACGAAAAGGAATACTGTGAGAAAGTAGATAAAAATTATCGCATTTTGACACCGCCGGTCTTGGCTTTTCGTATTTATAAGCTGCCTTTAAATTAGCTGACATAGTATTCAGAGATCATTTCTTCGATAAATAGTTTAATTGATACACCACTGGTGCTAACCAAAATAGATGGAAAAATCTTAAATGAGAATTTGGTACTTTATGGACGATGCCAGCGACAATGCATCGTTGGGCGATCCTGGACATGATCCATGCAATCAGCCCGCTTACCGTTCAAATTTAGATGGAAAGAATGAAAGGAGCATGCGACAGACATCGGTGGATGATTGACCGACACGTGGTCTAGCGGCGTCAGGGCGAATGATGATGGCTTTGCCTTAGCTTCAACATTGAGTTGGATGACAGTACTGCTCCACAATCAATTGGAAACAGATCGTAAGGAAGGCAGACCTCTGCATTGCCCCCACCAGACACATGGCACCACTTTCGTTGGATGCGACAATTTAGCCTGCTCTTTCACTTCCATACTTCCAGCTTCGGTTTCTCATTATGTTGTCATAAGCTAGCCAAGTTTCATTTTCAGTAACGACATGATCCACATAGGATTCGCTTATTGGACGAGAGAGGGGAGAAATGGCTGTGGGTTGATTTTCCAGTTGGACAATGACTCAAAACCCAAAGAAAACCTCAAAAAACCACCTCTGGCAAACGTCTGATTACTAAACTTCGTGTTGAGGGAACGCTTTGGTTGGCGAAAATGAAGTTGATCGAATTACACAGCACCGCGCAAATGGAAATGTCAAAGTATTCGTCATTTAACCTAACTGAATGTTGAAAAAGTGTAATTACCTCCCATTAGGTCAGTTCCATTCGCACTTGCGAGGTGCTGAAATGTCTAAAAAGTTGTTGAATGGGCTTCCGATGATGGATAAACTTTCTAGTTGCGTTATTAATGCAATCGGGGAATGTCGTCTAGAGAAAGTCAAGATTACCTTGTGCATATTCTGCCTGAAGACCTCCTCGCTCGGCGACATCTGGCGTTCATTGGAAACCGCCTGCCTGGGTCGACAAGGGGTGCCCGCCTTAGAATGAGACCCAGACAGGAGACACGGAGAAGGCGACTTGGTCTTTCTGAATCCGGTATCGATCGGGGTGGTCTCCTTCGAGGGGTTAGACGAGGGGGGCTTGAGGCAGTGGCTGCTCGAAGACTCCTCAGCGCCAGGCATTAGGGCCGAAGGTCTGTGGACGCTTGTTGTGGAAAAAGACACAACTTTAAAAGGAACCCTTCAAATCTGCTCTTTTGCGTGACGACGCTAATTAATTAATGGGTGGCATCCAAGACATGCCTTTGATGTGCCGGCGGTGGTTCAAGGACAGTTGTTTTTGTCATTAGCGTGCACAACTCGCCATCACTGACACGCTTTTGTGCGCAGCAATTTGGCACAAATTGAAGAAAGAGTTCGCGCATAGTGCGTTACCTGGACGACGTGGTGAACTTCTGGATTTTTCCAGGACCCGGAGCAGTTTGGGCGACAGGCGCGGCAGCGACACTGGTTGAGCCGCCGCCGCCGCCCCAGTTGTTCCAAGGCTCGGTTTGTTTGCTGTGCTGACTCATGCCAGGTGACGTCATCGTGGGTCCGCGCGACTGCTGGGATTGGCGCGACGACCTCGGTGGTAGGGGTGGCGGGGAACCCGAGGCTACTGCGACTGGCGGTCTGGACGGTGGAAGAATGAACTTTGGCTTGGCCGGCGACGCTTGAGCTGCTACGGGATGTGTTGGAGCAGAGCCCCTTCGGGCCTTCGCGAAGTCCAATTCGGAGGGACGTTGTAGCACCCCGGGATCGCCTGAGCTGAGAGCTAGGTCGTGTGGATGGAAGTTGTAGCCTGGATGTGGACCGGCCTGGGCAGTTAGCGTCGGCTGATAAGCTAAAATTAGGTGAGACAACCATCTAAGCCGTTTGTCAGTTATCGCAGATCACAGGAATGCACGAGCGAGCCATTTCTAACAATGTCAGGGTTGAGTAGATTAAATAAAGCCAATTCACGTGAGGCGTACACGTTCACAAGGCAATTTGTGGCAGCCAAATATGTGATTTGACTGCCACCACTAACCTGTTGGCCAGCCTTCAATTGCTTGGGTTAAGTTTCCGTTGACATAGAAACGAGCGGCTGGATCCACCGGTGAATAGTTGCACATGTATGCAGCTGCAGCAGCCGCCGCGTGAGACAAGCCAATGGGTGGCGGAAGCTGTCCGAAGCATTCCGGATGCAGTTGAAAGGCAGTTCTAGCTGGCGGATGGTGGAAGACTGACGAGGAAACTGGCTGGTGTTGGAAGGAGCGGAGGGCAGGTGAGGAAGTGGAGGGGGTCAACCACTGGCATCCTGATGGCGACTGCTGTGGAGGTGCGAGGACGTCGTCAGGATGACGCAAGAAGGAAGTCGGCGGTTGTGGAGGCGGCGGCTTCTGTGGATGTTGACTGTCGGTGGGAAAGAGGAGCTTTGGCTGCACACCTTGCCGATAATTCAGGCTTGGCGACTTTTTAAAATTCACTGAAGCTGACATCTGTGGAGGAAAAACACTTTAGACAGTTGAGCCACGGTAAGCATCTCAGGCAGATTTTAATATCAACTCCAGTAAATGATATTGCATGAATAAAAACAGAAATCGCTGATTAGAATTGAAATTAAGGAGCTGCAGGAAGAAATCTTAAAGAACTTTTCATTTGTAAAGTGGTTTTTTAACTTTGGGAGAGTCATATTATTCTAATGGTCTAGCAAATGAGGTAAGCCAGATTAGTTAAACTGAAAACTTGGTTTGAAGTACAGCACAGTCAACAACAAGTGCAAACGCAGATACTTCAACCAAGTATTAACAGGTTTAAGAGCAAACCATTCTAATTAGACCAATTGTAAAGGTGAAAGTTAAAAACAAATAACATGATTACCACGATTGTGGTTAAATGTGGTATGATATAGTTGCTTTTACTAAAATAAAGGAACAAAAAGAAAATTAGGCCATAAAATTCTGTTTTCAAATTTCCTTTAGTTACCAATTTATCAAGGTCTTTTACGAAGCAATACACACTAAACTTTGAACCTTTTCTGCAAGATAACAGTTGCATTTTTCCTAAGGTAAAATATAAATGGCAACTAGGCAATTGTATTGGAGAATTGGATTGAATTTATGCAATTAACTTGTAAATACTCATTGGAGAAAGAGCAAAAGTGAATAGTTTTCACAATTGCTCCCATCATGATTTACTTATAAGCATACATCGACCCTCAAACAGTTCTTTGTCAAATTTAGTGCGCGGTGTTAGTGTTATCGAATTGTTGTGCATTTATCAACATGAGGTTACATTCACAAACAATTTACAAGTGTTTTGAATGCCATGTAAAAGCGTTTGCATACAAAAATGCTAATTAGAAGCCATTAATTTAAGGCTTATATGGTTGTGAAGAGGAATGAAAATATCGTAAATATAGGACAACCAGAGTAATAAATGCTTATTAGCAAACCAGTTTTAGCAGCACAAAAAATTTACAAATTATTGCTGTCAAAACCTGCTTCATTTCGATATAATCTATCACGGTTTATCCAACTAAATAATCGCATGTTTCAGGGAGCAGTTCTATAAATGGTGGAATTGCAAAAATGGCCCATCAGTCATGGCTTCCACAAAATTTTACAGCATCCTATTATTACAGTAGAATTATAAAATAAGATCTTAAGAAAAAAATAATTAGCCAATATATTGTTAAAATTGTGCTATAATCGAAATTAATCAATAAAGATGTCTGAAATCCGCCAAATATAATAATATTACTGGTTTGACGTGGTGACCAAATCAGCAGTGAACAAAATTTAACGGTAATCGGGTTACGCACATATATTCTGACCTAATATATATCAGCAAAAATGCACAAAACACAGTATTGGGTTTGTAAACAAAGCAAGACAAAAAATGAGTAGAAACAAAACTGCCTTCAGTACATTTTGCAAGAAGCGCCAATGACCTTTGCACCTGAAGGTCAAGCACAACAGAGAGTCTTCATACACATATTATTTTAAACAAAGTTAAGCATATGCAATTTGCATTTGCGACAAATGCAAAAAACATCAGGATTTTGAGCTGATTGTGTATACTTTAATTGCTAAAGCTTAGTACAGATTCAAATCTTGCAAAAAAGACTTACTTACACAAGTTTTTAACCCTTTCTTGGATTTCTGCCACACTGGGACAATTAAATGAATAAAGACGTCTAAGCTGCGTGAATAGTTTTCCTTTTTCATCACAAAAGAATTCATTGGCTACATGGAAATGGAATATGCGTCTTTTACTAAATTCCGGATTATTAGTAAGACCAATATTTGCTGAAATCCGTATTTATTAAACTACATTGAATGATTTCTGATGCCGAGTATATAGTTGGGGTTTTAATTGGATTTGTAGTAATTTGAAAAAATGTGCTCTTTCAAATCCTAAACTTTTCGTGCTCCTGGATTTGAGGTTCAATGTTACGGATAATTTTCGTTTTGATTAACAGCTAAAACTACATAAGTCTGGGAGATTCCACATTTTTCGATAAGTATAACATAGTTGTGGACGTTTTTTCAAATTCTTGCCACATCTTTATCTGTATGAAATATATTTCGTCTGTGCTCTCCATAATCATCAGGTAACTGAACTCGCGGTTTTATTTTAAATCACATCTTCTGCATTTTGCCGCAATTAAATGAAGAGCTTATGGAAAATTGCGACCTCGATTTGCCTTGCCACCCTGGAGGTCGTGTTTTCTGGTGTATATAGATATGTGCTTGACCTGCGTTATATTAACTGGTTTTTTATTGACCATTTGGAAAATCAATATCAGAATCTAATGGACAGTTGTGAAACCAAGATAGATGTCATCGAAATCAATCACTATGTGAACAAAACATTTGCACAAAAGCCTCTTTTCACTTACTGTTTATAGTTTATTTAAACGACCCAAGAATGTCCGAACTGTAGGTCCGACAACTACACTGAATGAGTGTATGCATTTTCAGTCACTCAGGCTTAGGTGATTTATGGTATCGCCGTCGACCCCAGGAATGGTGGCAGAGAGCGAATACCAACGTTTGCTTCACAGAGCTGAAATTATAGTTTACTGCACTTCAAAAAACGCGCGCCCCAATCACACGAGTTTTTTAGGAATCTACCAACGTAAAATATGTACATAGGTCAATGTTTAATGCAAGTGAACACATTTGCTCAAACAATTCTGGGTGATCTCACGCAGGCATCCTAAATCCTGAGAAAGGACCATTTAACATTTGCAAACAAACTCACGACAAAAGGACATATTGCATTTATTTGAAATATCACCTAAAGCACTCGCAACTAGTATAAATCTATAGCATTACACTAGAAGATGTAGCTGTTCTAGAATATTAGGGATGAATTGAAATGAAACTAGGAGTTCTTCACTTCGGCTTGGGGTCGATTCGGAGGAGGCTCTTGGCGACTGTCAGGTAGAACTTATAGTGTGCGGTCTGCGGTTCGGTATCCCAGTAAAAGTGTCCGGCAAGGTCCCGCTTTTCGTTGTAACAATGGAAGTGGTCCAACTTGAGATCAATTCCAAACTAAACGGAGGAAAATAAACCATTTAATATTAATCGAATCGCACTTATCCAGTCGACTTTATGCACAAAACCTTCTCAGGGAAAACACTGAGAAGAATTTTCTACGGAAAACGTACTCCACCAATCAGAAGACGTTGTAGTCCAATTGTGGTAGTGAGAATTTCCCAACATGAAATCCTGATTTGAGCTACATACCAAGGGTTCGGTCCATGAAAATATGCACAATGCACACCAGCACTTTTAAATTTTCCTGAAAAAATTACAACTTTTAATGTGTGACGGCCGGTGTGGATGTGAGTACCACCCGGTTTTTTGTGGAGTGTGAACGGCTCGAGAGAATCCACTTCTTAACATCAAGGACTTTTCGGGCTGTACAAAAGTACACGCGGTGCTTTTTGTTCTCAAACGGAAGCTTTTATTTATTCAAACACCTTTGCACTACAGACCACGGTGTTCCAATGTTTGTCTTCTGAATTTCGATCAAAACCAACAACATTTCACGCTTAGAGGCAATGACACTAGACGCACATACACCATAAGTCGGTGAAGAGCATTACCTGAAGGAACAAAGGACCAAAGTGGATGAGGACGTACCGGGTCGTGGGAAACGAGGGTCCCCATGCCCATAACGGGGGGCTCCATTTCGAAGAATTTGAGGAACTCCGCAACCCTCGATGGCGAATCAACCGGATGGTCGGGGAAGTCGGGCTGCAAGAGTGGAACAGCGGCCTCAATGAACTAGCCAACTCACTGAATGCCAAAAAATGCTGGCAGTTAAGGCCTTTTAAAGGTTTTGGGGAGAACAGATTGAGATTAGCAAATTTAGTCAACTTTCAGACGACGTTAAAGGATAAAAACAATTGTCAGGAGAGCTGTCAGGGTTTACAAAAATCGATGTTCCAGTAAATGGCTTCGAAGAAGCATCATTAACCATGGATCTGGTTATGTTATTGTACCATCTGTACCCCCCAGGAAAATATTAATAGGTAAGCGACAAGCCGGAGGGATTTGCAACCGCAACCAAAAACACCGACTCACCAAGACGTGGAAGCGGCCCTTACTGCCAGTGAGCATGAAGACGCCACCCAAAGCCACCGGTTTGTCCAACTTGCCATAAGCCGACGTGAGGGCCTCGCGCAAAAATACGTAGGGAGCACCCTCCTTTAGACGACCCGAAGCATCCACTTCAATGACCTAAAAACCGGTCGCGTGAGATGTCGAAACAGCAGAATGGTGGCATGAACAAGCAGGTATTCGTTGTGAGCAGGCATAAACTCACGTCTCCCGGTAGACCCTCGGTAGCCAGTAGGTGTGCCAAGAGAGCAAAGTTATTATCCGTGGCTGCGAGCACTTGGGGTGAGCGCGTCTGGAATAAAAATTGGGAGGGCGTAAACTGCAAGGACATGTTACAAGACTTAGTAATCTCTTAAGACGAGGAAAGTATCAGAAGAACTTCCAAAATGCTACCGTCATGTCGGTTGCAGGTTGCGTATTCCTCATCGTAACAATGCGGTAAATAACGCGTAAGTTGGCAATAGAAGATTTGTTAAAAAATTAAATTAGACAGACAAACCACAACTCTAAATTAGCGAATCGAGGTGCAAAATCAGTAATTGATTAAACAAAGAGAAACGAAACCCGGATTTATCCAGGCGTTTGTCCATTTTCCCACCTTTAATCACTGCGCTGGGCGTTTGATAAATGGATTATCGTTAAAAGAAATGCTGATTTATTCTTATTTGATACTAACGCGATGTTGCTCAAACCAATTACTTCATGTTACGACTGTAAGCCTGTGAGTAACACCCCTTGGAACTACACGCCATTATCAAGTGAATTTCTACCAAACAATAATTACGAGAAATTGGCAGTATAAACATGAGTGAATGAAAGTCTACGAGGTTAGGGCAAGAAAAATAGCACTTTAAGAAAGAAAACTTACAGACTCATCATAAACCCCATGGAGAGTAGAATTTGAGGAAATTTTCGAGTCCTCAAATCGAACATTAGCAGCCATCTGGTAAAAAAAACCGTTCAACTCACTGTCGTGATCGAGTTACAGTATCGCGGTGATAACCCTCATTTATAGTTTGAGAAATCAACTCAAAAGGGAAGATTAAAAATTAGATGGTTTGAGGGACAGAATGGAAACATACCAAGCAGAAAATTAACATAAATAGAAACTTAATAAAAAATAATAAGCACTACCAAACGGTGAGAAGCCACGTACCTCGCAATTTTTGCCGTGCGTATAAAAAGGGCCAGCTCCCGCCCCAAGTAATTGTCCTTGGCGAAGTTTGGAAAGCCGAACAACTTCATCAAACGTGTATTTCTGGGAGTTAAAGTAATCCATTCATAATACCTTGGTTTTGTCAGGAACAGGAAGGAGATAACTCATACCACCAACATCACACACAATATTTTGGCCAGAGAGACCTTAATTCATAAAAAGCGCAGCCGAGATGCAAACCTGAACACAAAAGTCGGAAAGGAGACGCTTTGAGATCAGGACAGGGCACGATCCTGACATTCACAGATTTGAAATGGTCTTTTATGCCGTCTTGAAGGACTATGAGACGAAGATAAAAATACCTAACGAATACTTACTCTTTGTAATCTCTTCCAAATTCACATCGTGAACATCAAAACGGGAAACACTGTTAACAGCCATAGAGAGGTAACGGAATAACGTGTGGAAAAAAGCACACTTTTTCGTACGACCGCTCAAAACTCATTCGCTGCAAGTCAACATTTCCAATAACTATTTTTGTTTTCTGCAATGGAAACCTTGATTGGAACTTGCCAAATGCGACATACCATTTCATTTCATTTACGTTTAACAAACAAGTCACTCTTCTTTGAAATAATTTTTTTGTATAGATGGCACATTATAAGATGAATAAAAAATCTGTGATAAATAGGAGAGAGGAAAACGGGAGCTGCTAATATAAGGTCTTCAAGAGATTAATCGTCTTCACCATAAGAGTGAGTTTACGAAGTTTATCACGGCAAATTGAAAACTATTGAAAAAATTCATTTTCTCAATAATTACGAAGGAAAATCAATATCGAGATTGTTCATATGACTTGATAGTTGCAAAAGCATATGAACTTCACCAAAATATCAAACGATAAATGCAGTGTTACATTTAGGAAAGATTAATTTTCAAATGTTGATGGTTTAATCTGCTCTTATTTAGCGATTCCTTCTTACCGAGAGAAAGCAACATTCGTAAATATGCGAATTGCTGGTCTAATTGTATTAATGCAGCTGTATAGGATTTCTGTCGTCCTTTTACATTCCAAAGACATACAGTACTTTTGTGGTACAAACTGTAGAATCCTTAGCAAATTGAACAACCCAATCTACATTTCTGAAATTCATATTATACCGCTGGAATAAATTGTCCAAGATTCACTCTTTTTTTATAGGTCTATGAGCAGCAAACCTAATACCCAAAACTGCAGCTTGCTGTGCTTAAATCCAATAGCGAGTTGCTCAGTTTTGGTTTGGAGCCCGTGTGGTTTATAACGAGGGATGGCGGTATGTCGAGTTTTCTGTGCTCTGATGCCTTTTACTTGTTAAGGTTTCATTCGTATCTTTTATTTTTAGACAGAACAACGTTATGTGCTGTTTGAAAATGCGTCAGGATACAGTATTCTTCTTGTCAAGGAATTCGACGGAATTACAACCAACTTCTCGGCTCATGCGCATTCATTTTTGAAGCCGATTGCTTTTGTTCCTTTTAACTCCCTTGCCGAGGCCCTCGATAATGTGCAGTCTATTAACGAGGGCCGGGTGTCTGCACTACTGTCGGACTTTTTGAGACAGAACATGCCCGTCAAAGACGCTGTCCTCGGGGTAGTTGACCAAACCCTCGGTGAAGCCATTCTGTAAGCGGCTACCAGATTTGTGATTGTTTTTTTATTTCTTGTTCGCTCTACCTTTTGCTGTCTGCTCTTAGAAATCTCGACATTGGCTTTGGGTGTATCTGGGATTCATCTGTTCGTGAGCTGCTACGAGTAGTCCGGGCCAATTCCTCTCGGCTTCTGCGTTCCCTCGTTGTGCAGCCAGGTTCTGCAAAAGATGTTACAAGAAAATGTGCTAGCGCCGCCGAGGAGACTGCATCCGGTCGACACACTGAAAAACGTACACGCCTAGTTGTGAGTTTATCGCGTGCTCGTCTGCAGCTGGATCTCATTCAGCACCTTGCTGATACTGGTGTCGTACGTTCTCTTGACCTTCTTGATTCCATGGATGCGAGTCTCTGCAAGTCAATGAAACATCTGCGTTCCGCCTACGGACTTCACTTCCCGGAAATCTGTTGCAATGGTGGGTTACCCGGGATGGACGATTACACCCTTGTCTCAATCGTTGCCCATTCTCCCCAGAGGGATCATTTGGTGCAAGCGCAAGAGAAATTGATTGAGTGGACCGGTGGAAATCAGCAGATGGCAGACACTGTTATCAGTCTTGCAAAAACGTCCACTGGACAGGATTTATCGCGTGATGATATTACAACCCTACAACAATACGGCCAGTTTTTGCTCAGGTTGCTCAAGGTACTTGCTCATATCCTCAGCAATCAATTTATGATCTCCTTTTAACGAAACAGCGTGATCTGATTTCTTCTTTAGATTAGATCTTGGTCTTAGTGTCTTGCTAGAAAAATAATTTAGCTGTTTTTTTTTCATATAGTCAAGAACCAAGTGTTGTGCTATGCTGGAACGACGAGTTCGGTCGCTTGTTCCCAATTTGACCGCGTTACTGGACGCAGCGCTTCCTGGTGAGGAAGCCAACATCAGCCCAGAGCGAGTTCGGAAAGTTGGGGACCGTGTCTCGGCTGTGTTCGTCGTCGCTCGTCTTCTCTCCCATGCCGTTAACCTTGACAGGCTTGCTAAAATGCCAAGCTCTCGAGTCAACTCGCTAGGCGCATCCAAGTCCCTCTTCCGGTAGTGCATTGCTTAACTCCTTTCGTTCTGGCAGTCGTGTGTTATTTTCGTATTTTAAGCTTAACATCGTATGCAACGGACATTAGTTGAGGTGGTAACGTAAACGTACCCCGAGAGCATTGCTACTTTTCACTCGTAAAACCTTTAAGCTCTATTTGACTTCTCTTAGGATAAACTCCAGTGTGGTTTAACGCAACCGCATTTTTAATACCTCTAATTTCTAGTGATGTGCCATGGTGACTTCCTACCTGTTTCTTCCCGAGTGTCTTAAATCACAGTATTTCATGATATGCTCATTCTTAACCCAGCCGAGGTGGTTCTGCGCCAAAATGTTTATGTAAGCTATACATTAAGCATGCTTCGGGAGTGAGCAGTCCGTGTACCTTATCGTAAGATGTGTTACGTGTTCTTGTTTGAAGCCAAAGCGGTGCGGTTGCAGCGGCCTCGGCGGGTCTGCTTGGTCGTGCCGTCGGTGTCGACGGCGCCGACTCAACAAACAAGGCTCTCTCCTCGCTGACGAGGAACATTGTCGAAATGAGTGGTGGCCGCCTGCGGCCCATTGTCGTTCGACGTCGCGTGGCTCGCCTTCTCGCGGCGAAGTCAACACTGGCCTGTCGGGCGGACTGCTACCGTCGAATGAACCCATTTAACGAGACTCCGACGGAGCCCAAAAGCTTTGCGTCTACGCCGAAGTTGGACACTGGCGAGTACGGGACTGATCTTGGCGAGGAGACGAAACGGCAGTTGCGGGTGTGGGCCGAGGCTAACGGAGTGCACGTGGAGAGGACTGTGGAGGAGCTAGAGGTTTGTCTGTTTCCGTTAAGATAGGATAAGAGTTTCCGATCGTAGGATCACATAGCGGAATCATTGTTCGAAGAATGTGGTGGGTCGTCCTCACATGTTTATTTCCTTCACCCCGAGTGACCTATGGTGAGGATGCAGTTTGGAAATGAGATAAGCGGAGATTCATTCCCACGAAATCGATAGCCACAAGGATAAAAGTCTCCAAAGAAAGAGATGGACAATGCGGCGCCCTTAACCGGACAGCAGACAAATTATTTAGACAAGTTATGTAAGCACTTAGGGTCGCCGTGGACCAGAATATCCCTGAAAGCCGGGCAATAGAGGCGGACACGCATTTCTCATTAAAATCATTATTATTTTCTGTGCCCCGTTGCAGAAACAACGAGCAAGTCGGAAGAAATATCGGAAGGCGAAGCGCAAGGCGTGGCTCCAGCGCAAGACGGCTCCTGCAGCTGCCTCTGTTGCAGACGCCAAACCGGAAAACTCCGAGTTGTCAGCCGCTGACGACAAAGCCGACGACGACGACGATGTTGAGTCGCCGCCGTCACAGAAACGCCGTCGTGCAAACTCAAGCGCCGTTGAGTCGACCGAGGAGGTTGTCTGTGCGACACCCGCGAAGCGAACGAGGAGCCAGCTGAGACAGAAGGTGGCAAATGGCTCGTCTAGAAAGCTAACTCTTCGGTCGTCGAAACGGTCGAGTGTAGCCGTTGAATCGTAATTTGCCTCTACACACAATGATTTTGTAAATATGGTAAATCAATAAATTATCTTCCCTCCAATTCAGACGCAAATAAAGCCTATGTAAATACCGGATTTGTGTTGCTGTGGTGGTGGTGCAGTAGTTGGGACGATGGTCACGTGCTGGATATGGGTACACATATTGGAGGGCAATTCACGTGACCTTTCAGGTGCTTTTACTAATCTCACCAATCTGGTCGGTGTGTGAAAGCATATACACCAATGTACGATTTGTATCGGCATGAAAATTCGGAAGTGGTTCAAAGCGATAAAAGTTTAACTAGCTAGTTCACGTCCGATGTTTTTGTCCCGTAAACTCAAGTAAAATATCAACGGAACAGCACCGCAGCATCCCCAGAGACGCCTATCTGTAGGCAACTGATTTTCGTGCTTTTCGTAGAATAACACACAACCAGAAGCTGATAGTGGCAAGACTTGTAAAATTTGGGAGATTCTAATCTGTCATAAAATCTGACCTAAACAAATTTTATGAAATTAACGAAACCACCACTCGGAAGTGCCAGATTAATGACGCTAATTGCTACCAATCATTTCACGAATTTAATTATCCTGCATTTAATTGTTATCGATTGAATTGGGTGGATTGGATTAAATTTGAATGAGCGTTCGATATTTGCCGAATGCAAACACAATCGATAATCCAAACCTGATTGGTCTGTAAATAATTGGTCAATTAGGGTAGTCCAATCGTGTGAGAGCAGGGCAACTAGATATTAACTAGAACAGAAGGCAGTTGGACAGTCGTGCAGAAGGGGTCGTGCGAGCGGGTGGTGTGCGGGGAGCGTGTGCAGAGGGTGCGTCGGACTCGTGCTCGACCTGAACGAAGAGATTCGTTCATGCAGTGGGCACTCAAGACTTCTGAGAAGAAATCAGTCGAAGAAGTGAGGGCAGCGATAAGTAAGCCGCCTGTGTGTATTTGCATCATATGTCCTTGCAAAATGCCCCTACATTGGCTGGTTGCTCAGTGCCAGAACCTGAGTCGATTTGTTAAATTTCCAAGGCAAATAACGCAGACTTGACTGAGACCTCATTGAATTCTATGCCACCATTCGTTCTGCTGCTCTAGTTGTTCATTAACAGATTTCCATTGAATTATTTGCTTGCAGATTCCTCTTCTTAACTTCTCAACCTACGCAGACGAGTTCAACATCGTACATTCACTGATCGTCAACGCAGAGAACCTCGAAATCGGCTTGCACTTGGGAAGTTGGGCTACACCTGTGCAAGTATCGTCGAATCATACTTGAATTACAAGAACGCCTTTTGACCACCTATGCATTGGTGCCTCTTTTCGGCTTGGTTCTGATGCTGTCGCTTCCAACTCATTAGCACCTGCTTGTCGTGGGCGTTGGCATGGGTTACGTGGTGTTTGCGTGGGGAATCGGGTGGGAAAAACAGCTGCGTCTCAGTCAACGATGACTATTCGGAGTGGAGAGTGCGCGTGTGAGAGTGCATTTCACACCACAATTCACGCCAGTAGGCATTCAAGAAACACACCTGCTGGTGAGTTGGAGAAGGAATATTGAGCTTGTCTATTCGCATCCTTCTCGAATGAGTTCTGGGGATCTCTCTATGTGTGTTTGTTTGTAGGTCTTGGTGAGGTGGCCACTAAATTCAGCAATCACGAGGCTGCTGTAAATTTGATCGTTCATTCATTGATGTAACAGAGAAAATCTTGTCGTTCGAGAAGTGGACAATGATTCCATTGAGGGAGTTGTGCGTCTCGAAGCATAGTCGAGTGAGTTTTTCTTTACCTTGATTTGCGTATTTCAAAATGGCCCGATCGAGCCAGATTCTAGGGATTTGAGCAAGTTAGTGTGTCGAGGGGTTAATGGTGATTGAATAGACTGTTTAATGCGCTATGCTAATGCGTTTTTCATTCAGTAATTTGCAACGTTTGTGCATCTTGCAGAAGTGGAGCAGTCGCAGTTGCTCACTAATGGACAGTCATGTATGGGATTGAGGCTGTCGACCTGACTGCATCGCACTTCAACGCTGCAACGTGAAGTGGGTGCTGCTACGTGGTCGGAAGGACAAGCCTGAAGAGAGTCATCAGCGTTTCGGTGGCCAACAGGGTTTGCATTCACGTGGGATCCGACGATGGTTGTAGACCAACTTCGCAACTGGAGGTTGTGCATTTCGAGGTTCTTCTTTGTTCGCAATTGGAAATTTTTTTAAATGCCCCTTTTTGCTTCTCCAAATGACAAACATTTCATTGTCATCTGCATTTTGGTATTCAATGTGTGCTTTCTCACAGCCGAACCATCCTCTGCATGCGTCTTCATGTTATTCGAGTCGCTTACTCGTAGGACTTTACTTCTGTACGACTGTCCCAGTTATTGTAATGGTTAAAATCAATAATTGGGATCGAAATAATTAGGTTTTGACTGTGAGCGAAATCAGAAGGGCCAATAACGTACGGGTTGACCACAATGTTCCGATTTTGATCTTTTGAACGCTCGTTCTGAAATACTTGGCGTCATTTTATCGATAACGCTGGAATGACGAAAATTTTAGACCCACTGCAGAACAGTACGATGAATCCGGCAATTTCCGCGCAATTAGTAGGGAGGTTAAGGTGTTCCCCTATGCAATGTCAGTCTTTCAGAGCGTCAAAACTACAATTTCAAAGTGATTTGAATTGAAACAAGAATTTCGATATAATTTAACCTGCATTGTTGCATGTCTAAGTTCGATTGGGTCGTTGCCTCGATCGAGGGCCTGAATTTACCGTTCGCTTAGCCTGAGAGCAACCTTGGTAAATTCACCTTGCGTACATTCAAAATTTCGTAAAATGACTAAACACACCAAATTTGTGCTTGTTCTAGTATGAACATCCCTTTAACTGCACACAAACGCTTCTGGTTTGTTATCACAATTTGTGTGCGATTTCCGCAATTTGCAAATCAATGAGGACTAACTTGCGATGCTGTGATGATTTCCGAAATGCAGTTTGTGCATGGTTCAGATTCACAGCAAAGCACCGAGCAGGGCCATTTGCGCGCGTAACAACTTCAGTTAGTGGATCCGCAGGTAATCACTTCATCATGGAAGCATCCGCAACCCAAACTGCTAATTGCGACAATCTTGATCCACTGATGCGAGAACGGACAACACCAATGAAATGCCCGTCAGCTCCATCGCACACTTGTGCCCCATTTCCACATCGGAGTTGGGGTATTAACTTAGCACTCAGATTACGGGAAAAAATTACCAAGCAACGAGTCTAGTTTGACAACTGTACAAAGGATGTACATGCCTCCATCAATGTTAGAACCACGTACTAGGGAAATTGAAACAATCGTGTTGCTACGACCTATGCTCATCGCCATCCATTGCAGTCTGCTAGTACGGTGCTGAAGACATCGAAGCTTACGAGAGTAATGGCTTGAAGTACTGCTCATTCAGACATCCTCATCGTGCGATTACGGCAAGCGTGCTTGTTAGTCATGGGGCTTGGGACCACCAATGAAGACTCATATCTGGCGTTTATCAAGAACACGATTCCTGACCCTAAAGAAGGTCTCATTGGCGTAATTAATTACTGCATCTGTTTGTCCTCGTCACGTGCCACCCTACATCAAGTCCATCGCAGAAAACACATTTATTTCACCTGATTCATTCTTTCGCAATGCCAGTATAAAAAAGAGAGGTGACGCAATAAGAATACAAAATCAGCAATTAAACAAACAAAATATGTGACATTTTGTACAGAGGTGGCAATCCGACAGGCATGTCCACCACAGCGGAGACGAGTTACGCGCCCTTCACGCACACACTCGACGCGACGCCCTCGAAAACACACACCCAGTCAGTGCCGATTGGACAAGTTGGCGAGATTCCAGCACGCATCACCAGGGTGTTGGAAGCCGCGATCACCGCCCACACCTGCGAGACATTGTGGTTTGGTGAACGTCGTTGGATGCAGGTCAAAAAGGCGGTTAGCGAAGTCAATCAAATGGTTGGCTAAGTTTGTCCGAATGGAATCACAAAATACACGACTTAATGAACGCTTATTTAGTGCCCGTATAAGAGCTTTATAGAGGTGGAATTTTCTTCGTCGGTGTGCGTTTTCCGTTATCGCTAAGAGGCAATAATCTGATACAGAGGAATTGTACCAAGTCATTTTACCTTCAGAACACTACGCACTGACTTCACAGTGACTGGCTAATGAGGAAAAATTTAATTGCACTAACTCGAAATGTCGTTCGAAGGATCAAACAGTTCATGAGCAAACAAGACATAAAAATGCAATAGTAATAGCGGCTATTCAGCGTCTAAGCATACAGTGAATGGAAGGAGTCAGATTTTTTTTGGAATAATAACGAGCTATTAAGTGGAGCATGAACACCACTGCACAATTTAACGTGTTAAATTCATCTGCTTCACTAGTTGTTTTACTGAGCCGGTTCGCTCACTGGGCGCCATTTTGAATTTCAACCACGAGAGCAGAACCCCGCGTGGCATCACTTCTGAATATTACCCTTTTAAACGTAATGCATGTTGTTCGACAGGACACACGTTTTATAAGGATTGTGATTTTTAAGTAGTCGACCTCGGTGGGCTCGCGTGAACGACGAAACCGTGGTTTTACAGTCCACCCACCTTGCCATCAGGACTGCAGGAGATATCGGAAAGCCTGGGAGCCGCTACGCTGATCCACATCACCGTAGAATCGGACTCCTGTGTGCTGAGCAAATGAACCCACAGACGTCCCTCAACATCGACAGCCCAGACGTAGTCCGCAGAACTGGGAGCAAGCAGATCCCACGAAGCTCCAGATGGCGAGAAGCCCAGACACTGCCACTGGGCGTCTTGGAGCGGATTGATGCGGGATGGAGACGGCTGGTCGAAGGTCCAGATGAGACCGAATTCGGCGCAAATCGCCCACAGACGGTCGCCGTTCGGTGGCGTGGCAACGCACTCGAGTCGCATGTTTATTGGACAATGAATCCACCTAGAACCCTACATAAAAAACGCTAAAATAAGCGCGCAATTCACGTCGAATCAGCCACATACCGTCCATGGTGCCGTTATTTTAGACAGTCTGCAGTCTATCTATAAATTTTCCAACCCTCTACATTATTTAGGTTTCGTTAGATCATCCTGATGAACTCACCCATTGATGTGGCATCACCATTTTCATCTACGGTGATTTGATTTGCACATACCGAATCAACTATCCCCAAACCACCCCAATCAATGCCAGAGTTGTCGCATTTTAGAGAGGTTACGAGGCTTCCAGCTGATGAAGATTAGGCATTCCATCCAGTTCCCTAACTTCAAGCGTGGCAAGTTGTGGTTCTGGACTTCACTTTGCGATGCCACGAAGAACACAGCTGTGGCGTTGTGAGCAAAATGTTCGATCTTTTGTTGGTAGTGAAGCAGGTTGACCGATTCGAACGAAAATGCATGCACGACACCCTCTTCGCCTCAAACAACGAAACTGTGATGCAGAACCTGAACAAATCGAGATGGGTTGAGAACACATAGGACCAAATTCTGTCCATCAAGTTTATTTACTCGGATACTACGGTAGATTGGCTTTGAGTTTTGGCGTCGACACGAGGTCGAAAACATGATGAGAACCTGACCTGGGTGATACTGTTGTCGTGAGCCCCCAGCATGTGGTCCTGAACCACGCCGGGGCCACGGAATCAACCCTGGCCTGATTACGCTTCCCCGATACCCGCGATGAAGAAAAAGACTGGAGAGGACGTGGACACGACCGTTTACTTCAGAGCTCAGCCACGTTGGTGTCGTTGTCCTGTGTGGGGCCTGCGCGTGTGTATTTATACCTCGGGTGCTTGAGTCATACGTGCGCTAGCATCGAGACCTAGGTGTGGGGATACTCAAAGATAAATATTCGTGCTAATGAAAGGGGAGTTAAGGATTCGCGAGGCTGGCGCCATGCTGCGACAAGGGGGACCCTGCGTAGGGGGTGGAGCGACCGGATTGGGGGGTTGAATAAACACGATTCGCGACACTGTCTTTTCCGACGCAGCCAATCGCGTTAACACAGGTCCGTTGTCTGCTGAGCCCATCAGTTGCCTAGGCAGGCCCATCACCTATTCGGACACGTTCGAGCACGCATTCGATCCTGAATGCACACAGACACACCACACAGATGAGTTGAGTCTTGTAACAGGCGTCGATGTCACCATCGTTTCTGTTCTCTTTAGTCTTTCCAGAATACCTCCGTAGCTTAATCAAATCTGTAGAATTTGACTAGTCTAAGATGTGTCCGAAAGCCGCTAACACCATGAACATCACACTGAACGCGGAAATGTGTGAAGGCTTGTTAATAGTGCATATTTTTTGACTGATCTGGGCTGTTTAAACACTGGCCATTGCCATGAAACCGCAAATAACAGAGCGCACCTAGAATTCGCCGGTTGGATGTTGACTTTTTTGTGCCACATGAGTGTAATTTGTAGTTTTGTACACTAAACGTAAAAGAAACTGTGAATTAACACCTATAGAGAGAGTAATTTCACCGTGTTCCCTAAATTTCGAAATACCTCGTTTCGCAGAATCCGTGACGCACGAGTTATTTAAACAAATGAAGCCAAAACCGATTTTTCAGGGAAATAATCAAACGCTTTTGGTGGTGAAGTTACACCGAGGCAGCACAGCGCAGGAAAACTCCACCGTTGACATGAAACAACGGCTTGAGGCTCGATAAAAGGGTCAGTGGATCCCTCTTCAACGCCCAAGGTAACGACAATCCTGTCGACTCAAGTACTGTCTTTTCAAGATGTGAAGATTTTAAGGGTTACTGTCGCACCAAGAAGTCATAACGTGACTAACCTCCCAGATCGGTTGTGTGAAGTTTACGGTCATCTGACTGTTACCTTAACTTTACACCAAAAAGCAACGAATATCCATGCAGATTTATGAGAAAGACGAAAACTCGGAGTTAGGTAGGGGGTAAAGCGGACATCCGACAAGATTTTGAACTGGTACGGGCTGAACCCTCGCTACCGGATGTGCAAGACACACTACCGATTTGATGCTACCTTCTAGCAAATTGAGCGATGCAACGTCAATTACATGCACCAAGAGTGCAGAAGTCAACGCAATGGAAAGTAAAGTATTGATTTCCGGTGGCATGTTATCGACGTCAATAAACAATACTGATACAATATGCATCGTTCGCTTCATCGATTTTCCCATGGACAAACACGAATCTCACCGCACTGCGGCCATTTATATCTGTCCCGATACTCAGATTCGCGAACCATATATGGCTTTCCAGTGTTTGGTTTCCAGTGCTTCAGGTAATTGGGCGTTGGGTTGATGAGATAGCCTTTGCTGCGAATGCGTTCACAGTTGAGCTCAACTTCAGAGCCCCTGCCACGGATGCCTGGTGGTTGCTCGGACACGGAACGGTGGGTCTTCGGTGGGTTCAGGAGACCGTTCGGAATTTCATGCAACGGAGGGTACACGTAGGCGTCCTGGTACTCAGTTTTGCCCGGGAACTTGCAAACAATGCCAGCAGCCTCCACGGGGTCCTCACAACGCTGCTTGACCTGGCACTTCCTCACCGCGCGCTCCAGGCGCTCGCATTCGGTGTCCTCGGGGGCGATGTAGTTGGTGCATTCAACAGCCTTGGCGCGTCCATCTTCGACTCCCATGTTCCATCGTGGAGCGATAGGTGGACGCGGGGGGTTGGTGAGAGCCGTATCTATCTCGGAGGAGGGGTCAGCGCAGCCGATGTAGCCGAGATTGTTGCGGAAGCCGGTATAACGATTGGTGACGCCATACGTGTCGAGGAATTGTCTTGTGCGCTTTTTCGCCTCCTCAGCCAGGGGTTTTAGCTCATCGCGCAGACCCTTGAGTTCATTGATTGCCCAGTTATCTGCAGAACGCATGCTGGTGTCCGTCCAGCCTATTCCAACATCCAGGTCGGCTTTCGGGTCTTTTTTGAGCTCGATACAGGCGCAGGGGACGGTGCTGCAATCTCTGTTTCCCTGGTTCATGTTAACTTTATACCTCGCGGTCAGCTGACCCCCAGGATCGGTAAGATGCGTGCAGCTATTCAAAAGGGCCTGTCGCTGAGTGACCAGTTCCCTTTCCGTAAACTTTTTAATCCACTCTGGAGGGGCATTGTTGAGCAGGGTGTTGTCAAAACGCAAATGGGCAATCTCATCAGCAATATCCCACAACAGCGTCTTCGTCTCGGGGGTTTGAACGAGGCTCGGATCGGAGTAGAGCTGACGAATCTTGCCTTCAACCAAATCAAGCGCCTTCGCATACTGGTCCGAGTAGGCTAGGGGGTTGGGTTGGACGTTGAAGTAGTGTGGGAGGTGTTTCGCGTTAGAACACATGACTGGAAGCCAAGCTACACGACCCACGTGTTCAGAGGACCCGTGGCTACGTACTGCAGATCGATGAGCCCAAGGTCACGGCAGATGCGCAAAGTAAAACAAGCAAAGGGGGCTTTGTCACGTGGTAGCACGAACTCCTAACCGGCAAGTTTAAATTAAGAGCAGAATTCGGACAAGCGTTGATCTACGTTCCATGGATTCGCAGCTCCAAATGCGATATTAAATGTGCTGAGGCCTTGGCAAATCGAATTTGCTAATCCATTCCTGCTGGTGTAAAAGAAGTGTGTGTTGACTAAACTAACACTTCGATGTAGCCCATTTGAAACCGCATCAAACATTACTAGTAAATCATACCGCATAATTGTACCGACAGTAAATCAGATATCGAAGGCATAGTGCCTAACATAAACGATTTTTGCTGATAGAAGTCGTGTCTGGAAGGAGGCAGATCACCAATACTGTGATCTTCAATGTCGACGTGATCAGTGAAGGGCACTTATTGCCAACAAAACGTGTAATATCATATTGCCAACCCACTCCACAGACTAGAAACACAGTGAATAGCCCGGGACATTCTGTGGAACTACCTCTGCACTGTGCGGAGCTTTCGTTGAGTGTAGAATCTATGCAAAATGTCTGCGGAAAGGCTAGGGATGCTTGAGTGGTCGGAATTTTTTGAATACTCCCCATCGGGACCCGATTCAACACCCGCTTCGTAGTGTTTAGGAGCTGGTAAAATCTCAATAGGAGACAGTCGCCATCACAGCTAGTGCCAAGTCCATGTTCCAGAAAATGATCGTGGCAACCTCTGACGAACGGCAAGGAGGTGCGTACAGAAATGCGTTAACAAGGCGCGCCCACAGCAACGGGAACGCTGTCGAAGGGTCGATCCGTGACCCTCCACTGCTTCCAACCTTCCTGTACTGCCCCAAATGATCGCCAGGAACCACGAAATCGCAACGCTTGGCAAGGTATTGCTCTATCTACCTGTTTTTGACAACCTTAAGTAACCCTAGGCTTGAATGTAACTAAACAACCCACAATTTAAAATCTGATTCAAATTTTTAAGCAAAACACCTGATTTTCGGATTTTCCAAAATGAATTTGCTTTTTTTGTGAGGACATTTAAATACACAACTTACTTAAAGAATTCTTTAATGCACTGCGTTTTATGGCAACGCAACTTCACACAAACAATTTGAAGGCATGAAAATAACTGTTGCTAGGCGCGCCAATTAAAGTGGTACTAGAGACTGGACATCTTTGTTTGGTAGTTTAAAAACAGGACAATCCATGCAAAAACAACGGTTTGGACATCTCGTTAATAAACCTGCGAACGTCACGCATAGATGACGCCCTTCATAGTCGATTTCAGAATTGTTAACAGCGTAAACAGGGACTGATTTAACTCGACGTGTGTGTGAGCAAGCCCGATCATCTGAAATTAACCAATCAAATCATCGGATGAGGGTTTAGAGGGTTGTTTAACTGGACCAGGCGGGAACTTGAGCTGTGACTAGCAAACAAGCTGAGATCTGTTTACTGTTTCTAGACTCTAAAACGAGGAGTCGGAGCTGCTTAGTGACGTGTGTGACCTCAGAGGTGACTATCCAGACAACAGAGCCCACTAAGCTGCGAGAAAAGAAGCACTGCTTACGGTGGGATTGGAGGCAGTGACGTCGCGACGAAAGACGAGTTCGCCCGAGTCGGTGACAGCCCACAGATCCGACGAGTCGGGGTCCAACGGACTGCGCGAGAGGGCGAGGGACTTGAGCTTCAGGGCGCCCACCTCCTGCCAGGGACCCTCTGTGCAAACGTAGCACAAACGAATCCACTGACGGTGCCTAGCTCCACTGGACGTTCTCGAACGCTGTCCATGGCAACTAGAGGGTGGAGAGGCAACGAAAAACCTAGATTAGTTGCTGTCGTCGGTGGCGCCACATCTACCATCTAGAAGTCTCGAAATAAACTTCCTTAATCGCTTAGACGTATCCAGTTTGGGAAGGTTCACTGCTAGAAGGTGATCTTGTTGGGAGGATTAAGAATTGCGCAAAAAAATCGATGTTTTTTTCATCAGAAGATGTAGCGACCTACACACCCAGTAGAAGAAGTACTCATCGATCCCACGTGCTCATGTGTGTGGGACGCATCATGCCAAGGGGGCACAGCAAAGAGGATGCGCTGACTTGCCTATGAGCGGGCAGTCGAGGGGTGTAGCGCCAGCCCTTGGAGTTGCACGATGGCAACCCTGGGTACACGAAACCCTCCTCGGTGCCGGGGTAGGGAGCACCCGAGGTGAATTGCCTCGGGGGAGGAGAGTCGTTGGTGGTGGTGGTGGCGGTGATCACGACCTCCAGAGACCCCAACGACGATTTGACGGTGCAGTCTTGGCAAGGCGACCCACGCGGCGATGAAGGCGGGCTCTCCTTGCTGGCGCTGCTTCCAGACGCACAGTCCTCGCATCGGCATCCACACGAAGAGAAGCGATACGAGGCGGAGGTGGGCGCGGGAGAGAAGTCGACCTCCCAGTCGCCTAGCCAGTGCACGCGACCGCCGTGCGGTGGCAGGTGGGTGTCGAAGAGGGTGCAGGGCTGCTGATGCTGAACGTCCTGCGACCAAACAACCCCGCTTCCGTTGGTAGCTATGCTACAAATAACCAAAAGCTCGACTGGGTGTTTGGGTCCATCTCAGAGCTTGCAGCGGTAAAGGTGTGCTTATGTGCAACGCACCTCGACGTGTAGCCATGAAGCATGCGCCAGACTTGGAATTCGTAGACCTTGAACTGCCGGCAGTCGGTTTGGAAGTGAGTGGTGTGGAGGGGAAAGTGGGCGTTGGAAAATCGTGGCTGGGGATTCGTGGAGGAGGACGACACCCAGTCCTCGCGCAGAGCCCACGGTGTCCCGTCGTGACCCAGTGCCCAGGTAACTTGCCCCACCCCATCACGAAACGAGACACTGTCCACGCGAACCACGTGACCCCCAATCTACACCCAATTAACCAAGAGTGCGATCTGACAGTTCAGGCGGGCAACAGAAGGCTCAATAATGTAAAAATACCAACGGCCAAATGAGAGTGCAAGCGATAGAAGCCTTTGTCACGCTGTTTGTGTGTTCGCAACGCGTCTCCTGCAAACGTCTCGGTGTTCATAAACTTCTGACTCAGCAGTTGTTGGTAAAAAAATCGCAAAATACCAAAAAATCATATTTTAAAAAATCATGGTTTGTGCGACTAGGTGGTGCCGCTGCATTCCCAAGTACCAATTTGAGTGGCGTGTGTGCTGGGGGTAATTGACGGCGCGCGATTTAAAATACTCTGAGAAATTACCCGCCAATGTTGATGTTTTTGCCAAACCGGTGGATCTAATAGTAGTTTTTACCCTCGTATTTCCGATGAATCAGATGACCATGGCTGTTTGCCTCCGTTTGAGGAATGTGAAGTTGCACCATTTGTAAATTTAATGTGCCTCGATGCGGATGGCGTTTTGGTTGTGGAGGTAAATTTGACCCGACAGACACGGACCTTCGTCCAGGACGCGGTTTCGACGTTTCGGCTGGCAGCCCAGAAGACCTCGGCCTGCTCGGTTACCATCCAGATCTTCCCCGTAGAGGGCATCAACGTCGTCAGCTTCTGCGTGTTTTTCAACCACGCAGACGCTTCGGCGGCGGACGAAAACCGCAGAATCCAGCGCGGGACAGCGTGACGCCTTGCCGAAGCCGCATCCCCACACACCGATCCTCCCTCAGCAGTCGCTTCTGCCGCTGTCACCGAGTCGACAGACGACGTTGAGCTGGCTCTCCTGGCAAAAACTGCAACCAAGCGTCCTGTCGAGGAGGGTGGCGCGTGGTTCAGTGGTGACGACTGCCTCCGACCGCGATCGGTCAGATTCACGCTGCCAGGTTTCTTGAAGGGCACGTGTTCCACAAACTTTCGACGACCACCAGCACCAGCATCCTTCCAGGTGCGAGGAATGAGTGTTGATAGGGCACCCACATATCCGGCCCATGCGACTTCATCGCCATTCAACTTCTCCGAAGTCTAAAAAACCGGGTAAAAGAACAGTAACATTCACCCGAAGACACCTTTTGTCTTGAAGTTCAACAGAAGAATGGAACATTTCCGGTTTCCTTAAATTACAGTGTCATTTCATTGAAAGGCATCGGGCCAGAGCCTGTTACACTGACGGTTAGTCGATTGATGCCAAGCTTAAGTATAGTGGTGTAGGAATTTTACAAGCTGGTTACGTGTGATTACGGACTTTAGGGAAGCAACACGGTCGCTTTAAACATATCCTTTTACACGAAACTTTGTTAAAAAGAGATTTAAAGCCCATGACATCGTCAGACTGCAAGGCATTCTCACTGACGACAGTTCAGCAGGTGTGAAATGGACTACAACGAGTTCCACGTTGGGTTTTCCACTAACAGATTTGACAACTCAGGCTTTGGTTCAAAAAGTCGAATGGCTTTATTTTAAGTTAATACAAGATTTTAGTAATAACACATACTCATCGATTATTCTCTACGATCTATCGGTAATGACCTGAGGGGGTAATGAGGTTCGCGATAGGCTACTTCGAGGTGAAATTAAAGACATTGCATTGTACCACTAAAAGGCGGTAAGTAATTTGACCTCGGGACGTTGCTCTTTACGATTTTCAAAACATTTTCAGTAACACTGAGAGTACTGTCTTGAAGCGCTAATGCCCAGGCCAAATCGCCATCAAAACCGATGAACTCTTATTACGCCTAAATGTGCCGACGAGCTAAGTTAAATTCTTTGATAACACCCTTCGCAAGGCAATTCAATCGGCCGATTACTGCTGTGAGACCTGGTTTGGCAATTTCACACAACCCACGGGGAGCGTGAAGACTGATAAGCGTGTTGCATCGCTAATAGAGGCGTTTGTTAAAGAATTTCACGAACAGGGTAAAGAAAACTAACTTGATCGTTTGAGTGGGTCTCCAACCAATCATCGCTCACTGAGCAGTGGGAATCCGGTGGGGGGTAGGTGACGAGGAATTCTGGATGGTGGTTTTCGAGAGCGGTGTGAGTGACAACGGCCTGGCCTCGCAGCCATTCGACACGACGGCGCTCAGTGGATGGATTTGGCGATAAACGCAGAACGTCCACGGCGAAGGAATCGGTCCAGGGTTCCTGATTTGATCCTTCATTCTTAACGAAAACCATTCGTGCATCTGCTTGTCTTTCATCGGTGGTAATGATAGAACTTGCATTTCTACACGACCATTGGTTAGGCAAAACAGAAAACCGTGTGACGTCAGTGAAGACACATGACGAAACCGGCTTCAAGTAAATGACTTGGTGGAAGATTGACAGCTGATGTACTAATTGGCGTTTCCTTCCCACGTGGATTCATGACGTCTCACGCGCACCGAGTTCGCACAGATACAGATGATGTGCCAGGAGTACTGGTAGGAAGACACTAGAAGCAATCTCGTACACAATGCACAAAATCGAGTGGATTTTGATTGTAACTGTGTGGAAACCCGAGACAAAACGGCTTACCGAGTTGATTACCTTGGGGAGGGAGTTGGAACCTTCGAAGACACGGGGTAGTTCCTCTGAGAGGGCGCTCCCAATCTGCTTGTACCAATCAGGAGGGGAAAGAGGGTCGTCGATTGTGAAATACGGGATCAGTTGCTTTTTCTCTAGTCAACGAAAAAAGGAGAGGTTACAGTGAAGACGGCAAGGAAAAGTAAGTTCGAAAGTGATGCGTCCAATACCGGATGATGCGCTCACCCTCCATAGTCGACGATAAAAGCATAGATTCGAGGCAAGGAGTTGTTGTTTTACTGTTGTGGTTTATTTGGCAAGCGCCATTTTTCGAAATTTCCCATCCAATGGGGATCTTCGACTTCTATCAAAGCTGCCGTTTACAAATGATTGTGAAGAATTTTGTTGAAACAGCGTTTCTGAAGCTGCAAGTCTGCTCAAACCCACCATTTTCTCAGCTTCCTCCTATTGGCTTAAGTGGACACGCTTTAGCGTGTACTCGTGTGGTCAAATGTCCCTTGTAAGCCCCCTATTTAGGAGTTAAAGGTTCGGAGTTTTAGAGCTTAGGTTAGCAGTAGAGACTTTGTGGTCACCTGGTTTGCCAGTTCCCACAACGCACTCAACAAACACTCCGTCTAATTGGACAAGTAAACACAAGTATTGCAGCCAATGAGAGAACGAGTAACCCATCCACTCGCAAACCAGGTTGAATTGGCCTGGTTTGCTTGTGCGTGCTGTACCTGAAATGAGAGCGGAGACGCGCCAACGGTGGGGTAGTTCAGGCGGAAGCGTCGCATCGGGACGCGAGACCGCGCCGGCCCAGAGCACGGCCAGGTTGACCGGAGGGTGGCCGATCCTCGGCATGGCGCGATCAACCACCGGCCTCGTCGCGTCGCCCCTGTCATCCAAAGCGTCCTTCAGCAGGTGGCGAAAACTCTCAAAAAAGCCGTGTGTTTGAGTTCGACTCCTTGATGAAAATAATCTGCGAAGTTTACGACCCAACACGTGAGCCGGTGGCGCCTAGAAAAACAGCAAGTCGGAAAATAAAGGCGGTCACGATATTTGTCGTTTTAGTTGCTATAACAGCGCCAGAAGTTTCGGTCAGCCATGATGGTCTACTTGTGAGTTTGTCATCCGATCTTCCTGTTCATTAATTTAGAAAAAAACGCGCATCTGAGTTTGCTTTTTACATTGCTGATCTCCTACTTCACACATAAGCATATATTAGAAGCAAAATGCCTAAACTACAGGAAACTGGTTATAGGAAGGTCTTGAAATCCTGTCTTCCTATTAGCAATGAACAGGCCATCTAATTGGCTGCCTACCGTGTGCGAAGTTCAGGTTTACACTTATTCTGGTCCAACAAATTCACGGATGAGTCGCTAAAAAATTAGACCCCAAATAGCATTAGAATGCATTGCTGCAAATGTGTTTTTCACAGCCTTACATGACGTTTCGAATTAACCCACCTGAGGTAGCAAAGCCTCTGCATTGACGTCGATGTCTGAAAGAAATAAACATGTTGGAAAGTGATTCCCGAAACAGACGAGTTTGGTTGAAGTGCTCTTTAAAATGTTCAAAAGAAACTGGGCGCACTAACCTTCCGGGATGCTGCAGTGCTCGAAATTTTCGTCGAAAGAGTCGTCCGAGCTCGGATTGGTCAGTTGTACTAACCGTGCGACCAATTGGAGCGCCTCGTCTTGTGAGGGGCAGAACGAACTACGAGGGCCCTCGCTGACGCAGTTGAGACCTGGGAGAATCGGCAGGTCGAGGGAGATCCAGGCTTCACCGCCAGGAGTGGCTGGAGTTATACCGCTGCGATAGATCAGACGGTTCGATAGTCGATCAAGAGCAAAGACCTGGAGGGTAGCGAGCATAATTAACCACCAGAGACGAGATCACTCAGGCGAGATGAGTCAGTCGCTACCTGATCGGTGGGGGAGACGGAGAGGGCCTTGAGACGGCCGGCCATGGCCGACCACCGACGGTGTGGATCGGAGGGAAGTCCACCGCAATTGAAGTCCGCCCTGAACCAGCAGCGTCCGGTGTTAGCGAGAATCCACGCGCTGCGTCTACCTAGCCCCACGGACACCAGGTGCTCGTGGTCTTGCAGTGGCGGCGACTCACACGTCAACAACTGCCACGAGGTGCCTAGGTACGGAGGGGGGGAAAAGTAACTGTGGAAAGCGTCGTGACTAGCTTAAGGCAACCACCACTACCACCACCTCCTAGTCGCGATATAAACCAGAAAAAAAACAGTGTCCAAAGACGCAGGAAAGGCTTGAAAACAAGCGTGAGGCGAAATGAAAGCCTCACCGTAAGGATTTTTCCAGGAGACGCCCACACGGTGGAAGATTTGATTGTCGTCAGTCAGTACGAGGACGTGGCCGTGTTGGTTGACGTGGATGTCAATTGCGAATGGCTGGTGGGTCTGTGGACGAGCCTTCTTGGAGTTCTGCTGGTAAACCATCAGGAGGCAGCTTTCAACCCACTTGGTACCCTCTGGATTGTCGCGACGCAAATCGCTCCTGAAGATAACCTGCAGAAGACAAGTTACAAAATCGTAAATTACGATGTTGCCGTGATACAAAGCAATACACATCTACGGGGGACAAATTTGTCATTGGTAAAAACCTAGCAACCAATAAAGTGCTAGTTTGAAGTAAATTGGAATTTTATTTAGTCTACGCAATTGGACATCGAAATAGAATAATTTGGATTACAGTAATGGCGCTTGAGGTGGTACGCTAGTTACCATACAAAAAGTAATCACGGATTCATGTTGAATCCAGTGGCCTGGTATAAACAAAGTGGTTACGTAAGGCTCTCAATTTGACGGTCGAAGGTCACAACTAACTGACAGATAAAATACAACGTCTTCACTGAGTGGCGATTGGCTCCTCATACCAGACAAAATTGGAAACTTGACAGCGCTATTCGCAACACACTTGCCGGCGCTCAATATTTCCGTCGTCCACGTTCAAGTGCTGACAGTCCCACACCCTGAGATGGACGGCTTGGCTAACTTTGAACACAACTATCCGTGGGGCCTTGTCTCGCCTTCAGAATTGCCCCCACGACTAACCCTGTCAGATACTGACGACTTCAAACATCTGAGGAGGAGTTGCTCCAGGACAAACTTGTGTTCAATGAATTCAAACGGCAAAAAAGTACTCTAGCATCGGGCTACATGAGTTACTGCACGTACCTCGACACCACACTCATACCAACCCAAAAAATCTCACTTCTTGTACGTTTTTTCATCGCATCACCTACGCAGACATGAGGTCAACTCCCAAACCGACGTCATCAGCTCGACGCACAATACAAGTTCGTAAAGCTCCCCTCATATTGTGATTGTAAACAACACCTAAATGTCCACAACGCTACCTCAAAATGAGGATATTTTATAAATGTACGCCTGCCTTAAGTAATAGTCGGAAACATCGGTGTTCCTCCAAAACTATACCTCTTTTTTTAACCCTGAACTAAGTCGGTAATGTGCTTCTAATAAACGAACAAGCTAAATGAACGCGAGAATCGTAGCTACGCCCACAAAGCAAAACTGCCGCATAATACCGAATGGATAGCGTAACAGTACAGGAAACTTTATCAAACTTAAAAACTATCTTACCCTTCCATCCCTGGTGACCGCCCATAGCAAAAGAAACCCAAGAGGTTGGTAGGGGATGGCCTCTCCACCAATAGCAAGTTGATAAACATGAACGATACCGGATGGGGAGTTGCGTTGTTCAGCGTCGGACTCGAGTTCGTTCGAACAAACGCAACAGAGAAGCCATCGATCGTGACCTAAGAAGCGTCGCACACGCTGCCAACGACGCCTACGAACCACGCAACCACACCGGTAGAAAGAAGAAAAACTCGCATTCGGACTGAACGATGTGGAGTACTCCCAGCCCTTTAAAGAAAGGCAATAATAATAATGATAATACGCGGAAACGTAGTGAGTAGGGCTAGGTAAGTCAAACTCACTGCTCCGCCCTCGCTGTGATGGAGCACAAACTCCCAATTCTTCGACTCCCATTGCCAACGGGTTGAAGGAAGTGAAGTCCAACTGCTGCTCTCGTGCCCAACTTGATGGTACTCGGGAGGGTCGGAGGACAAAAGATTTGACGCTGAAAACCCCGAAGATGGCTTCCAACGCTGTAGTACGGAGGGTTGTTATTAAAGAAAAGGAGACTCACCTCATGCTGACTAATGAGCTCTGTCACCCGCGTTACAGTTCCGTCAGAAGGCACGAAAAGGTAGGGCGACTGGTCCGCCGAGATAGCCCAAACACACCACGAACTGGCTACAAGACGCTTCACGCGCAGTTGGTGGCCATTACGAACCCTCAGTGTCCGCCAACCAGCCTCCCAAGAGGAAAGATAGTATGCGTTGCCCTGATCGTCACAACTCCAGAGGTAGCGCTCGGGCTGAGTTAAAATTGCAGAGCGTATATTGCTTTTATCAGCGACAACTGAACTATTAAACCTCGGGTGGGTTTTAGGAAAAAGACCATCGCGAACAGACATAGGAAAACAATGCAGCATGATACCATCATATATGGACACGTCAGTAAGGAATCAAATCGCAATTCGATTTACGTCATTGTGTAAATTTAAGTTACAAATAAAACGTCCGGTAGAATGTCACTAGTTTGTCTCCGAAACAGAATCACTCAGGAACCCTTACTTGAACTTCGCTAATACGAATGCGAGTTGCGTTGAGCACATAAGCTACACCAGAGGGACCTGTCAGGGTCAGCACATTATATGCACGCTACATGGTTGCAAGTCAATAAAAAAAATGAATAAATGGAAAGTAATCACAGATCCATAGATACAAATCATAATCAAAAGACGCCAAAGGCCCATCATTCAAGCCAAACTATGTTTAAATTATTACAATTAGAATTTGCATCGAATTAGAGATTACACCAAGCCAAATTGAGGTAAAATCATGACGTAACATCTGTGAAAAGCGTTAAGTACGTTTGTAACTGATGAGTTTTAAGGATTTTAAATGAAATGCAATTGGGTTTACAAGCTCTATACAAGAGTGCAGTATTCATTTGTAAAACGAAGTGTAATCAAGCTTCTACATATTTGAATCTTGACCTTTGAATGATTCTAAAATAAACACATAAAGAGGTTCTAGCAGCCAGAAATTATCTTTCATGATTACCCTACAACACTCACTAATCTCCTCACTGATTTGCTGAGGAGTCTTTTATATTAGCGGATTTAGACTCAAATGAGTAGACATCTGAACTGCTTTTAGAAAAATTCTAAAAACAGACCTACCATCTGAGCCAGAAGCTACGGTCAGATGATAAGCAAAAATGGGACAAGGTCATTGATCAATTAAAAGGACAAAACATATACACCCATTTATTGATAACAAAAGCGAATGGTTTCAATTTAAACGTTTTAAGTATAATTTCTTCTTGCAAAATCTTCATTTATTATAGACAGTACCTTACTTAAAAAGCAAGTTTAATGAAGCACTTAATTCGTACATCTATTTATATTTAATCAAATTGTAGAATATAAGTTTTCATTTTTTTAAAAATTAATTCTTATGATCAAAAAGACGCGATAATTTTTGTTAATTAAACGTTTGCTTCGCATTAAGCATTTGTCTCTTATTCCACATTTACCTCTTTAATGAGGAAAACAACTTTCAGAAAATATATCAAAAAGACCGATAATTCAATATTTGTGGTGAAATAAGCTTAAAAATTGACTTTTTGAGACTTCCTGCAACATATATTAACTGAATTGCAAACTGCTCTGACAAATGTTTCAAAGCTTTTGAATTTATTTCTCTGGGACTTTGAAGCCTACTGTCTAGGCTCAGCAGAGCATTATAAGCGTCATTATTTTTAGTGGCTGTTTAGCAATCGAGGTAATTGTTTAATTACGCATCATGTTTCTATAGCTTTATGAAAAATTGCATGTTTTATAGCATATACTTCCCGGGTGCATGTGGTGACCGTGCACTTAGATTTTTACTAATGCTTAATAGTTTTTTTGCGAAATTCTGCCTTATGTTGCTTTGTTTGAATGCATCTTAGTGGTGACATAGGTCAACCAGCTTCGGTGCGGCTCAAGTGAAATAGGCCCCTCCGGTGGTTGGTGTGCTTGTGATTTGGTTTCAGCATATAGTAACTTTTGCTGTCGTTTGTAATCTTACATCTCATTCGAATTTTAGGACACCTCTATGTTTATCCTATCGTTCTGAAACTCAAACTATTGTTCACTGGTATGACTTATTGTTATATGTAGAAACTCAAGTTCAACGACACTGTTGCTTGTTAATCTCGTAATCGTTTTGATTAGTGAAGGTCTAAACTACTTTAAACTTACGTTTTTCACGATGTCTTTATCCATTACCATTAGTGATTGCTGTCTAAATATTTATGTATCTCTTATCGCATTTGATTTTCAGTTTTCTGATATAACCTGAAGGACTGAATGACAACTGTTGATTTAACTCTATTACATTTAACTCTTCTGTGAATAATTGGTAGGAAGGATGCTTGTTAGTTTTTCCTTCAAATTTTTGCTGCACTTATCTAGGAAATGACCAATACAAATTCCGGCAGTCTTGACCTGAAGTTGATGACAGGACACTTCTCCCAATCTATCGACAATGAGGATATTGTCCTTGAATTTTATTGTGCCGGTTATTATGAACTGTCCAAGTTGGTGTGAATTTTTTTCTTTCATGTCGCCTCTAAGTCTGTTGGACACTTTAGGGCGGATTATGCACTTTGTGATGAAGGATGTTTACCAGAAGCTATCGTCTTTAGATGATTTAAGAAATTCGACTAAGCACCCCAGTGCTTTTTGTGAAAATTTTAAAACATTGAAGAAGATGTGCTCGTTTGAATCAGACCAATACGAAGACAATCGTCCTAAATCGGGAGTTGAATGCACGATGGGCTGTCGAAACCTATTGAGGCTGCATCGCGCATTACTTTTTATTACCAATCTGTTCGAAAGAGTTGGCACGGGTGAGTTTATTTTTTAGCCACGTTCCACGTTTAAACTATTTTACCTCAATTCTACCTTTAAATAGTTAATTAAGAACTTTATACCGGTGGATTGTTCCCAACTAGGTAATTGGTTACGCTTTTCTGTGAATGGTTTAGTCCTAAGTTTCGTGTAACTTATTACATTTTGTAAATAATTTAGGTTTTTAGTAATGTAAGCTGTGGTAGCGTCTTACTTTGGTTTTGACTCAAAGATACCACCTCTTGAACCGCCTTAGAGTGCTAATATCTATTTTTCTCCCAAGATCCTCCCGAAAAGTCACTTTCGGAGTTGGCAAAGACGGCCTATGATGAAAGTCTTTCTGTGCATCATCCTTGGGCCGTACGTCAGGCAGTGAGCGTAGCCTTTCGATTGCTGCCTAATCGCAGCCAGTTTGTGGCCTCCATTGTGGCTACTCAGCCTAAAGAATGTCAGCTGACTGACGAAGCGTCGTGTCGCGAGTACCTTTTTAATGTAACCTTGCCCACTCTTCGTAGGGTTTACAAGCTAACGGAGGATATATTGGCTAATGCCAAAATGCTGGAGTTGCCCTAACTGTCTTTCTCCTCTGTCGTCTGTGATATCTTTTTTTAAATATCTTTATAGTTTCAAATCTTTTTTCTGCAAATTCGGGTCATTAGTCTTAATAGTAAACTAGGGGACTATCAAGTCATTGTTACTTTTTTCTACCGCTTAACTGGTACCGACGGCAGAAAGGTTCATGATTGACCACCGAACAAAAGCGGTACGCACTAGACTGTGAAGTCTCAGCGGCTGTTTTTAGCTTAGTAATCCACGTCTGCTGTTCTGGTTAATTTTCTTGCGACCTACCAATGACTAAACAAACTCAATAGTTCTGAACAGCCAAGTGATATATTATAAATTCAGTGAATATCAATCGGTTGCCGTATTTTGACTCCCTAACCACCATCGTGGCTTTTGGAATTATTTTTAGACCTGGTCGCCTCAGGTATTTGTCAAATTTCCCATGTAGGTCCTTTTGTCGAAAAATTACAATTTGAAATTTTAAAATGATTCTGCATTCACCGTGGGGCGTTTGCTTAAAGGCACGTCAGTGTACGACTAATTTAATTGTATTTTTATGTAAAGGCACACAACGACTCCACTGCGATGGTCAGTAACCCTATTCTGCTTAAAGTGAATTGAATTCACTTCACACAACCAATCATTTTTTGTGAAATGCATCATAAGCGCAATTAGGCCGTTAATTATTAAAACAGGCGTGATGAATCATGGCCACAGCATCTAAAAGGTCATACTGTCAAGTGTAAGGAATTACAGATGTGCTGTGCATTTTAGGCTCTTTCGTAGGCACAAAAATGTTTGCTATCAACAAGTCACGGAAGATAATTTGGACACTTTTAGCGAAAAGCGATCAGAATTTATTACTTGTAATCGTGCGAAGCCTCACACATGTCGTGGTGATTCATGGATGATGTTGTCACGATTGAAGTCGATAGGAAGCTGACCAATGGTTATCGGACGAAATTGAAAATGCCTGCTTAATTTGATAATGACTCAAGTTGCATCGGTTACACAACCAAGCCATCTCTGTGGGACATTTTGCGCCTATTTTCAGCGCCACATTATAGACACTAAACGAACTTTAATCCTAGCGATTGGGGGGATGTGGCGCACATTTCTAGTCGATCCTCGAAATTGAACTTCCGAGAGTCCAGGAGTTCTGAAAACGATAATTGGCTGGCTTTGTTTAACTTGAGGTCATGTCCGTATTGCTACTGGGTCGGTTCCTTCACTGGGCGCAATGTCAAATGAGCCCACTAATTAGTCAAGCTCTCTGTGCTACCAATTCGGTTCAAGTGCATTATGTGGTAAATAATGAGATAAACGAACGATGTTAATGTGTGCCAGTTAAAAAAACGGAGGAATGAGGTTATTCACCGCTTCCAAGAGCTGAAAACGATGCCTCTAGAAGATGCTTCGAAGGAGTGGAGTGGAGTGCCCCCACAAAAAGACACACGGTTGCGTCCACTGTCACCTGTCTTGCCTCTTGGTTATGGGCTGTTAACCAGCAGGAATACCGTCCGCGTAAACCCGACAATTCTTGTCGGAAAAAACGCCAGATTTGGAGGAGAGGCTTTAAGGCTTCAAAGACAGTAGGTCAATGCAAGACTTCTCAGTGACGTCAACAAGCAGACGAACCCGGCGTCGAGTTTGAATCTCAAGGAACACACCCTCAATGAAAGGGTGAACTGTTGACGATGATCCAAAGAACAGAGGTGATAATGAATCATCTGTTGATCGGGTCAATGGATCAGCCTGTTTGTGTATGGATCTATGATGAAGTAACACAGATTGTCACAATGATTCTGGCAATTTCTCTACACTGAGGCATGATGAAACACTTCAAGACTAAGCATCGAGATACTGCGAGGAATTAGGGACTGACGGGACGGTTTTGCAGGCAATCAGAAGATGAGTAAAATTGGGATTGGTCATATCTGAACCATGGTAATGGTGGTTAATTCACTAGATTTGTGCCAATGAGAGCGTGTCTCATGTAGGGTTATCTTAAAAAAGAATTCTCCGAAGCCATAGTCGGGAAAACAAACGATTGGTGGTCTTCTTGCCAACCAATTCAACAAAGATTCGTGATGTCTTGAGCATTCTTTGGTGGAAAAGTAAGAAATGAAATCGTTTAGACCCGTCCTTTTTCTTTTACTATTTTGGATCGAACTTGCCTACTGCTTAGTTGAGGTCTGTTGGTTGTTGATTTTCTTCATAGGCCACTACAATGCTGAGCTCATTGCGTGATCCAAAATGGCACTTCTAGCAGGTAACCTGAGTGATAGGTTGGAATAAAAAATCTTGCTTGATGATCAGCCCTTACAGTGCAATATTCGATGCTATTGGATCTGGTTGTGAGTCCAGAATCGACTCTTTATTTGAAAACTGCGGAAAACGGGGAGTGAGTGAGTCGAGATCCGGTTTAAACCAAGGTGAGAGAGTTAGGGAGGAAAAATTGGTAGGGGAATCAGTCAGTTTGACTGTTTGACGCATTTTTTTTCTCTCGTTTACACGCATGAATACCCAAAAGTGCGGAGGCGCAGAGGTGGAGTTAAACCAAGACCAGGGTGGAAAAACACATGCCAATAAGTACTCCCTGTCTCTCGGTGGAATCTGCAAGCCTTCAACCACGGTGCACGACACGCCCTTAGCACGAATTGCGATTTGGTGGTCTGTGCCACGTTTCCAACTGAAACTAGGATGTAATCAGTATCACAATTAGTTTCCTCTCCCTCAAAATCACGTGATCTGGCCCTCCTAGCGCAGCATAACTGATTACCACGCTCCAAATCGCTGCTGTTAATTAAATTGTCACCCTGAGAGACCGAACTGGTTCACATCTCTCGCATTTAAGCTTGCAGTAATGATCATGGTATGCTAATTGTGTAGGATTCAGGTCAGCAAAGTGACCAGTTATCCCACCGACTCAAATGGAAGCACCGATAACCGGTAGTTGTGGACGAGCATGTCTTGGAAACTAGAAACTTGCCTTCCGTGGTCGTGTTTCCGCAGTAATCGCTGTTCAAGTGTGATTAAATGTGCCAGTTCCATTGGTAGAGATTCATGAACCAATCGAAAAAGTTGTGTGAAGAATCTTTTAACACACACGCTTTACTGGTAAAGATAAATTACTTTGGGAAAAAACGCGTCCCACGATTATTAATGAAAGTTTGTGAGCTACATAGCGTGAGTCAGTCTAGCAGGGACTGAACAGCGTCATAAACAGGTTTAAAACATCTGACTCCAATTTATGTAGCAACAAGTAATCAACAAACGCCTCCTTGTCATGTCCTTCCAGATCACACCGGCTGTGTTCATTCTAGTTCTTTTGAAGTAGAAGCTATAAAAATTTGATCCTCCTGATTAGCTGAGTGAGTGCACCTGTACTCGGAGCCGCTCAATTTTCCTGGTGATTGAGCCGTCGACAGATTTGTTACCTCACCTAGCCTGGTGGAGTCGGCAGTTAGCTGACATCAATCTGTTTCTACTTTGTTTTTAATTGATAGAAATAAACGTCACCGCATCTTGGTTGTGTATATGTTGAAGTATCAAATATTACTGCCCTGACTCAGCCCAAGGATCGTCAAAGCGTGAGTCAGTGTTTCCACAAATTGTGCTGGATCGTCATCTTTTTCTTCGGCAGGCGCATCTCCACATCAAGCATGATCACGATTTCACATACGACGCCCCATAAAGCCCGCTTCGTCGATTCGTGTTGGGTTCAGTACAGCTGTCCTCTCTCAACATCTGACACCGTTTTGGAAGCTGAATTCCCGGCTGAAGTAGCGGATTTAGTCGACCACGATCTACTGGTAAGTTTTAGTAAATCCGCCAATGGCATTCTGCTGCTTCACAGTACAAACCAACCCTACAATTACACGCAGCCCCTAAAATGGAGGAATTAGTTATTCGCCACGATCGACCAACTGACAACCCTTCCCAACTCTCTCCGCGAAGACACCCGTTCGTGAATTTCATTAGTCCATCTTCCAAGAAAACACTTCACAGAAGATATCGTGACTCCGGTTCGTCACTTTGCAGCTCCTCAAAATAAAACTCTTGTCAAAACTCTTGGCGTGACATGATGAAGACGGTAGGAATCGAGCAATTGAAACTCCATTTATTATTTCCAAAAAAAGTACACAATACGACCCAATAATTACGCGGGGGTTTTACTTCTGAACTGAACTATTTTTCCTTTGATTGGCAACTAATGAATTCGAATTAGTCCTGGTAAATGCGCATCCCAGAACCTACATGCTAAAAATGCCCAAGTTGCATAAAAATGAGATTATTTTGTTTGAATTAGTGTGGTGAGTTTGAACTGAAAAGTTTGTTTTTGCGAGCCGCCTTTGATCCATTTAGATCATAACATCCGACGCTTTCTTCTTCCAACAATCTGGGGGTTGTCTAAGCACGGTGCACATGTCGATTTGCCGATTGGGGTATTCTGTATGATCCTAGGTGACGATCCGTGATTTCATTAAAATGCTTTTTTGTCTGTAGCACTAAGTAGGTGTAGTTTTGCGACAAAGATTCGTTACAACAAAGTAAATTACCTGTTAACAAACCACGTAGAATTGAGCCGGCCTAAGAATACGCCGATCACCTGCCATCGAAATCATAAAATTTTTACAATACTTAAATACGCACACCCGTTTAGTGTCCTTGTTAGGATTTTCTCGACCGGAAATGACGTTTTTCGATGTGTGATTATGTTGGAGATTCGGACAACTCCCTCGACCACGCCACTTAAATGGGGTGGTGTCAACCACAGCGCCCCACCGACACCTCCATCTGCTGACCCATCCCGATCTATAAGGTCAAGGTCATCCACGACTTGCATAAACGGACAAATTTTAAGATTTCTCACAGCCCTTGGCTGAGACAGTGGACGCCGTCTGCACGACGTCCTTGGGGTACCGGCTGCAGGCAAATAATAACAGCATGATTATAATAGTTACGCTCTTAACTGTTGTGTTCTTGATACGTGAACCAGCTTTGGCTGCATTCTACCCAAATATGATCTTTTCATGCGTTTTCACATAGGGGCATGGTTGAAGCAGATCCATTTAACTTTTGCTTCAGTCGTTTTATTGTGGGCCTTCTCCTGCCGAACTTTCTTTTCATCAATTTTTTTGCACCCAGTGGGAGTGAAACTACGTCTGAGGACAGACGTGTCCTTCAAGGTGTTCCTACCAACTTCCTTATCACGGGACTGCTATTTGCCTCTCCACTGAAATCAACGTCTCTACCGCTTCCCACTCGATTGCAACAAAGTTCGACTGGTGGGGTCAAAGTTAAAAAAAAACCTTTTTAAAGTGAACTCTTTCTTCCGAAAGTGGCACCATGTCTACATACATTAGGCTCCCCATGTTTTTACTAAAAACTTATCATTTATTTGCTATTTCGCTGCTGGTTTCCTGAACGATTCCCGACCATGACACTTTCTGAATCCGTCAATTACCTTAGCACCTAATTATCCTAATTTTATCTCTCTCTTGCATTGGCACCACGACTCCATAGAAGAAATACTAATTTATGGATTCGTATTAGGGTATGAATTGATCAAAAGTAACACCGATGCTAAAAACAATATACTCCCTATGCGAAATCAACAACGCAGAAATTTTATTCCGTGTTGTGATTTCGCTTGAGCCCTTCTTGCCTGAAAATTAAATTAAGGTCTGGCAATATTGCCTCTCATCGTTTTTAGCACACAAATTAGTCTTTTTGATACCACAGTTGGCGTACAAAATAAACATATCACAATGTCATGATCGTGTGCTTACGTGAGCGCATTTTAGGGAAACCGACCTGTGGCAACAGACCAAATTTTTCTTTCGCATTAAATAGCCTGCACCGGCTTGCCCCTCGATGGTTTAATGGGAGCAACGACAACAGTCCGGACGAGGTGAATGTGTGGCCCAGCACTCATTCAAACCTGCGGTGTGTGTACGTCGAAATTGGCATTGCGCCAACTCCCGTGGCCAATCAGAACACGCCAACAGTACAAAAACAGCTGATGGCCAGCCAATAGCGAAGCACTTTGGATTTGACTGGTGCGCCGACTTATTGCGCGCATCACATGACTCCGTCGTAGCCGTCGCTAAACCACTCTCCACTATTGGTGTGGCTCCCGTCGTGGCTGGTGGTGTTCTGTAGGCACCTTTTCATTTCCCCTCCCTTGAAGATGCCCTCCATGTTCATATCTTTTCAGTCAGCACTAAAGGAGGTTTTTGCAGTGACAGTGCAAAAGGAGGAGGAACTTAACTGCCAAACCGCTGCCATTGCATTGGGCAAGTCGTTCAGATGACAGTCTTTTTTTTTAAATTTTACTATTTGCGCATAACTTGAAATTTATGTATCTGCGGATAATGTGATTGGGCTTTGGTTGGAAAACACTGTACCCCAAAACGGAGTTAGTCAGACAGCATATATGCGATCAAATACTTCTGTTGTGTCCTCACTTTTTGCGAGATTTTTACTGCTTCAAGTTCGAAACCTATCAGAGTTTATTTTAAAAAAGCCTTAAATCGGTGCTTTGAACGTGCTGAGCACTCATTGGTGCATTCTTGCTACCAGTGGTGACCCTGAATCCTCTTCGCAAACCGATTAATTGTCGAATTGGTTGGCTCTACGTGGTTCGCTTTCTATCAACGGAATTTGTGCAAACAATTTTAGTAAAACCCACCTCATCATTTGCCACTGAATTGGACAGACCAATAATCGGTGCACAGGAATGTAAACTTTGGTTTGTTTGGGCACGCCCGTTTTCCGCCTGGAAGGTAGTGTACAGTTTGTGCTAAAGCCCCCGTCGAACGTGATAGGCTGTCAAGGTTTGTGCTGGAACCCTGTTTGCTTCAGAGCGTCATGAATTTACGTGGTGGGCTTCAATTTCTGCCTGGAATTGAACCTCAATTTAAGTTTGATGACGGGGCGCAGCTTTGACTTCCGAACAACTGCCACCAACTACACGATTTTACGCAAATTTTTAAGTCCAGTTGTGTCTAGTCATGACAAATTTCGGTATCCAGAGAAAATTTATGGACGTTGTTGGCACTGGTGGCTAGTTTTTGCTCAAACGACGCCGTTTACTAGTGGATAATTTCGTTCTTTGTCAGTTTATAACCCAATTTGGGTGTGATGTTGACGCGTATTTCGCATTTACAGCATGCCTACTGCAGAAGTATGCCTTCACACCGCGATTCGCCACACACCGTCAGTGCCTGGCGTCCTTCGGGGAGCGGACCCCGGGCGCGTCAACTCAGCGACGGAGCCCAACTGCACTGGAGTTAGCCAACGCGGGTTTCTTCCACACGGGCCGAGGCGACGAGGCCGTCTGCGGCGCCTGTTTCCTCGGTCTGCGCGACTGGCAGCCCTCCGATGTGGACGCGGAGGCGGTGCACGCGCGGTTCGCCGGTGCCGGTCACTGCCTCTACCTCCTGACACGTCGTCTCCTAACCTCGGTCCTGCCGCTTGCCCGCAAACGACTCTCGCCGGTCAATGCGCCTCCCCAACCTGACGTTGACGACGTCATCGACCGACTTGGCGTCATCGCGAGGGAGATTTCTGGACGGAACGACAGCTGCTGGCCTGTTGAGAACGCTCGAGCACTGGGCTACTCAGACGATCTAATTGCCCTCGCACTGTGGCGGCTGCAAGCTGAAAAGAAGGTGGATCAGGCCTCACGACCTGTCTGGACGATTGATCCACAGGTAAGGCTTGTTCATAATTCCACTTTCTTGAGCATTCAACCGCCTTAGCTGCTTTCGATGGATTCCCTTGAAGTTCATTGCTGTCCTATCTGATGAGGTCTGAAACCTCAGAACAGTCATGGTGAAATTTTTCAAACCCCCAGCATATTGCGTCGTGATTGGTTAATTTTTTTTCGATGCTAATTTGCCAGTTAGCTCATTCAGTCAAATGATTTTCAAGAATTGAGAGTACAATCTTCCTCGTCTCTCAGTTTATTGCTCTGACACGAAAAAACGTTGCATAAATTTCGGTTAATACAGCAATTTGTTTTCAAAATATTGCGTCAACATGCCTTTTGCTGTCTAAGCTGAGGTTTTTTAAGGTATTTTTACCGCAGTATTTATCATTTAGAAAGTGGAACCTGTGGAGTCGCAAGGTGTATCAAGTTCTAAGTAATCGCCGTTTTGTATTTCTAAATTTCAAAAAAATTGCTTTAATTTAACATCACGTTCATGAAAAGTACAATGCTATCACAAACATTTCCAGTTGCCGCATATATGCACAAAATCAGTTATGCCTGTACTATGGATGCAGGCACACAATTCATCTAATTGTCGAATTGCAGACAATAGCAGCTGGAACGTTGAAAGTTAGTTTGAAATGTGCGTGTGGGTGTGTGTGTGTGCGTGGGCATTTGTTTGATTTGTTGGCTTCGTGCCATTCTTGTGCACTGCAGATACTTTGGAATGGTCGCCTCGTAAGATGAACAGTAGCCTTGCTTTGCAATCTTTTCAAAAACGGGCCGCGTGAATTTACCGTCGTCCGGTTTTTTTGTTTGTTTGCGTAGGTTGGTTTTTTTGTTACCTTGGCGGTCAAACTGGTCACAAGATGCAAGCTTAGTTTGACGGCCGGGTTAGATGTAATGTCTGTTGACCTGCAGACAAAAGAAGCAAATACAAGTGAAGGTCAGTGTAGCGGTGCGTGCAGCACGCAAATCGGAGACAAGCACTACAGCAGCGCCATGTTTAGCTTGACGTTTTCTTTCTTTTTTCCAGGGAACAGCGAGTCTTTTGAAGGCAATATTGCGGGTGCAGGAGAGCGGCCTAGGCGACGAGGAGACGGCGGACAACGACAACGAAGAGGAGGGGGAGGCGGAGGAGGAGAAGGAGGGGTCGGAGTGTGGTGGCGAGGGTAGCTCCCCGCTTGAAGACGCCGAGCTGGTGGGACTGTCTCGACGGAAATTGACGGCTCCACCGAAACCGCGTTTGCCCTGTCTGTCGCAGATGCTCCAGTGGTGGGCGGAAACGTGGCTCACCAAGCCACCCCTCAGGGCTCCCGGCGTGCCAGCCGTCGTGCGTAGAAAGGCCAACTCCACGTCTGCTTAGAGACATTTGCATGTCATCAACATCATTGTTCGCGTCCTCGCATTTCTTTCTTACCACCAATGGTGTCACATTAGAGGTTCCATTATTTGAATGAATTCATTCAACGCCTCTCTTTGTCGTCGATTTGAAGAAGCCTTGGATGCATTGTTCAATAATGTTTGGCAACATCAATAATGTTTTTTTGGCCGATTCTCGCATAATCATAGCAACCATTATATTGGCGTATTACTCATTTAAAAGGGTAGCAAGTACATAGCGGTGAAAAAGTGAGAATTTGGTGTTTCTACTATATTCAGCTCTCTAGACGTACACTTCCATTGTATAGTATTTCATACCATTATCCCAATATCATCTACATTAAAGCATAAGCCTACCATCTTTTCTGATTTCAGGGCGATATTCAAGAAATGCACAGATGCTTTAATCAGTGTCACAGCCAAGTCCTACTTTTGTATCAAGTCCAAATAAACCAAGACTCCTAACTAAAATGCCAGATGAGTTGAGGAGTATGAGGTCATAAGTTGGCACGCTGAACAGTAAATTTGGTTGTAAGATTGAGATCAGGTCCTCTAAAAGAGCTAGTTCAAGCAGAGTTATTGGACATTGTAGGAGTTCTGGCTGCTCATTTGATTCATTTTTTGCTTAGAATGTGCGTAGAGGAACCACTTATCTTTGTTTCAAAAAATATGAAACGAAATCGCTAATTGGTGTCCACAAATGACCCAATACATTGAAAGCAAATCAATTAGCGTTTCTGGTTTTCCGGGAAATCACGCGGCACCTGCTCTTCCGTCACACAATTTTTGTCTATTAACATTTATTGCCCACAAATACTCTTCTTGGAGCAAAAATTTGCTGGTCAACTCCTGTGAAGCAAAAATACATTTTTCCAAAAAAAAAGTAACAAAATGACTATTTTCGAGAAAGGAGGGCCTCGACTGGAAGTACACTACATGAAGCACCAAAAGCTGTCAAAAAGTAGATCAATTTTAATTGACCTTATATTATCTCAAACCGAATGTAGGCTTAAACACAAATAAAACATTAATTTTGTTCAGGAGGTAGAAGTTTTTTTGTTATATAAACTGACAGTGCCTCACCTACTATAGATAAAGTTATTTTCCAACATACCAGGAAGCCAAAAAATTTATAAATACCTGTAATCTCTAATTATTAATTAACAAGCAAGTAACACAAGCAATAACACACTTAAAAAACACAAGGGTCGAATTTCAGCGCATTTTCTCAGCAGAATATGACAACATCTATAAACAATACGCATACTAAAGGCTATATCTTCATTCATTTGACTGCGAAATCGACAATTTATGTAAACCTCATCAACCGCGATATTAAATAAGTCACTCTGAGTACAACAAAAACCAATTTTCCATATTTTTATAATTTACAATGAATTAAATGTACGAAATGTAGTGAAAAAACCTTAAAATGCCATTTTTAAATTTGCTGAATGTTTTCGTAATCGTTAAAATTTTTGAAGCAAGTTGTAAAGTAGCCTCCAAACGTGGGTGGTATAAATTCTTAAGTAGACTTATCATTTTTAAAACTGAAACTTCATCAAAATTTATAATGAATATCTTATTTACATTTATGTAGTGTGGACTTTACGAAACTTAGGTGCTATTTATTGGATACTTCCGATTTTCTTGGTGGATAGTACAACGACAGGAAATTTCCTATTTAATTTTGCATGTTAAAAGTAAGATAGGCCTCTAAAATAGTAAAGACTCTCAGTATATTTTTTCAAATATTTTTATAAAAGGCTTAAGAACCTATTTATAATTTCTAAATATCACAATGGCTTATTGACTTTATTATTGACAGCCCAAATTTCTTGATTTAAACTAAAACTACTGGGCCAATTGAAATTCGCGGACCATATTTTGTAACAGATGGGGGTATGTGCGACCGAATCCTTAAACAGCTTCTAGTGAATCTGCTTCCCTTAAATATTCTTTACTGCTATGTGCGCACACGTAGTATTTGTTTGTTTTTGTCGTCGTTTAGTACATTAATTATTTTAAATAAAATCGGTCCTAATTTCGGCAAACCATGCCTAATTTCCAAAATCCTAATTGCGAAAACAGTGTCTATTTGCACAATGTTTCCTCGCGGTTAATCCGTTCTCCTTCACGTTTCATTTTCAAAACTCACGTCTTTTGGTTATTTGTAGGAATTTAATAACTACAAATGTTTTCCCGTTCGTGCTGTGGGTAGGAACCAATGTCTTTAAATGCCATTCCATCAGTGTACTACCATCTTTTTCGCTTACCCTGAACCTAGGAGAGGGTTGCTGAAACAAGGCGGTTAAGAAAGTACTTGTGGAGTCTTGTAGATGCATGGCAATCATTTGTAGCCTTTTTAGCGACACTAACCATATTAAACTTACCGCCTTATTCCTCATAATGTAGATGCCTTTGTTCGATAGACCAATTTCATTGAATGCAATCTGCCACCGAATATGCTAATAACCATGGGCCTTTACGTTTTTAATTAAATGATTTGTAGATTTAGCCTGTGGTGCGTCCTTATATTTGTTGCGTTCACATTCTAGGACGGGAATGAGTCTCCACCTCCTCCCATATCAACAGATCCGCTTCCGGTACCAGAGCCTCAAAAGGACCCTGAAGAGGTTGTTATAGTTAGTGACGAGGACGAAGAGGCTGACAGCAGTGACTGCGAGATTATTAGCGTCACCTCCGCCACCGACGAGCAAGAAATGAAGTGGCGGAACCTCAGTCGTCTCAACACACTGATCTCCGAAGGTTATGACAACCCTCGTCTTCTCTTAACCCGCATCTTTGGTATGAGTCCCTCTATCCTGCCTTCAGATTCCGCTAGTCTGTGGAGCATTCTCTTCTCCGTTTTGTCGGAACAACCTCATCGTAGGAGACTAAAGCAGTTCGCGACCTTAGACTCGGTTGTGAAACTCTTGCGTGACCGCTCTCGTATTCTTGTTCTCACTGGAGCCGGCATCTCTGTCTCCTGTGGAATTCCAGACTTTCGATCCCGAGATGGGGTGTACGCACGTCTTGCAAGAGATTATCCTGATTTGAAAAGCCCCCAAAATATGTTTGATATGGAATTCTTCATGAAGAATCCTTACCCCTTCTTCAAATTTGCACGAGTAAGTGCAATTGCTTGTCTAGTAATGTATTTCAATCATGCGCGTTATTGCTCACTACAGCTGAAATTTCCAATTACTACTGGAACATCCTCGCACAACCGTTGTGCGTGAGTGTTGAGGTTCCTTACAATCGTAATCGGTATCAGCATGTTTGTGTCGGCTTAACTAGTTTTACCACACTTTTAGCCATCGTTGAATTTTCAAGACTAATGCAGTTCATGCTGTGCCTATGTAGGAACTATTCCCCGGTCAGTTCAAGCCGTCGTTTGCGCATCGGTTCATCAAGTTACTGGAAAGGAAGGGCAAACTTCTTCGTAACTACACACAAAATATCGATACTCTGGAACAGGCCGCTGGAATCACGAGGGTCATTCAGTGTCATGGTAAGGCCTATTGCCTTTTCTTTACTGCTGCTGCTGCTGCTGCAACAACCAACTAGCTCACAAGATTCACTTAAATAAATATCTGTAGATATCACTAGAGGCATTGGGTCAACTCCAATGTCTCAAATGTATTCTCATGTGTAATGCTGTTGTTTCGTTCGAACCTTAATTACCTAAACCCGTATTTGTTGCTGCAAAATGTGGCATAGCAGTGTAAATGAGTTGCACCAGATAATTGCTCCCTTCAGTCCTCATTTTCCACGAACATCTTCAAATCGCATTGCTATTGGTAATCTGTGGTTTGCCTTTAAGGATCCTTCGCTACGGCCAGCTGTGTAACTTGTCAGTACCAGGTACCAGGTGAGGCTGTTCGTGAAGCAATAATGAGCCAGTGTGTTCCCCGCTGTCCTCGATGCTGTCCCGACCAGGGACCGAGTGGCTCACCCGTGCCAACCACCATCACATCCAGTCCCGCGGCGTCGACAA